ATGAGTGTACTGGATCTCGAGAGGGGTTTGGGTGTATGGCTGGGTGTGGATGCTTTTGAAGTGGGTTTGCGGGCTGACTTGGGTGAAGCATCGACACTTGCTTTTGCGTTTACCTTGTCTTTGTCTTTCTTCCTTATGCTGGCGCTCAGATCATCGCTGGAGACGGATGCGCTCCGCTTGCGTTTGCGGCCATGGCATCCCCTTGTAGCGCAGGAGACTAGTTTATCGTCGTGGATGGTAGAATCTGCACGGAAAACGTGCGCGTTTGGTGTCTGTCTATAAATCTGGAATCAGTGTTTGAATCTGAAAGACGGGATGATACTCACTGTGTGTCTTCCCTCATAACACCAACCATCAGGGGGACCCATATCACCTGTCCCTTCGACACTCCCTCCACAGCAGGACCACAACGTTTCATACGCAGCACGATCGACAAGTGCGCTTTCATCGTCATTGGAATGCGGCAGGACGTGTCTGTATTTGAAAGTTCAAAGAAAGAGGAGTGACAGCGCACGCAATGGAGTTGTGGTGGCGGGAGAGTTTCGTGTAAGAAATGGGCGAGAGCGGTGAGTATGCGCGGGGAGGTGGGTATTAGTGGGGATCGGAATCGGGAGAGTGGGGCGAGGGGTGTATGCATGTAGGGTTTGGGGGAGGGACGGGAGCGTACGAGGTCATACAGGGCTGTTGAGTCTGTTACCTCGGGTTCGGGCTCGGTCTCTGTGGTGCAAGAATTGGGTGGTGGCGTTGGCAAGAGGGGTACTGGTGAGTCAGTGTGGGAAATTGAGGGAGAGGGTGTGTGTAGTTGAGCGTGGGTGGTGAATCGGCTTGCGAGCGAAGAGACTGAAGACCATCGTAAAACGTTGATCTGAGTGTTTCGGTTAAAAATGTACAGTTGGTAGATAATAGTGAACAAAGGAAGGGCGGTAGAAACGATATCTAAGAGCTATGAAAATATAATCAGGAGCATGCACCTCCTCGAGGTCAATGCGTGCAAACTGCCTGTGTACCAAACAATCACAAATACAGATACCACCATGCTGGAACGTGTTTTGTTGCAGAAACTCTCATAACGTTCCGCGATGTAAGCATGCAATTCGTTTCGCGTGCTCCAGAGTGCATGCGCATTGCACATTGCGATATCAAGCTGAGTTCAAATCTTCGCTGATTTATAAATACTTCAGTGCCCTCCTTTGTTCCTTGTCTTTTCCTCAGATGAGCTGCAAGGTCCAACGTCGGGCGTCTCAGATATCCTCACTCCCTCAGAGATAGACGCTAGCTATCGTCTTTGTCACCTGTCGTCGATATCCTTCTCAGTCATGGCAACCGTCCTTGTTCATTGTTCTCCTTCACTTCTGCACACTCAAGAGCTACTCTCGCCAGCCGATGCTATTTTTCATTGACAAGTGCACGCCCCATGTTTGAAATTCTTGGAGTAACATGTACCTAGGCAGTCGCGTACCCCGCTCGTTCTGATGCTGGCACGTTTGGAGTTCCACATTTAACAGCCTAACTTGTGAAGTGATCACAACTCGCGTCTCTTGCTCTGCTCATTACAAGTCTAGTAACTGAGGGCGTTTTCATTCAGCGGTTCTTTAGTTTGCTTGTTGATTAGCATCCAATCACACCGCACACTCAAGTGCCGCCGTCGTGACCCCGAGCAATTTTTCTTGCTTTTTTTAGTGATACTACTTTGTCTGCCCTCGCCGATCCATTGCTCACAAGTGCGTATCGTTTCCTATCTCAAATACATACTCGCATACATACAGATTGTCTCGCACGCCTCAGGCTATTGTTTTGGCGCTGGTGAAATGGGCAGAGGTAATTGACTCTCGACCCAACTCACTAGCGCTAAACGTCAATCATTTCTACTCGCTGAACATTTTGTTTGCATTGGGGTGTATGCGGCCCTGTGAAATCCAATGATTGCTCGACCGCAAAGACACCAATGCAAACTTATTGTCGATATCCAGTCGTTACTGTCGCATCCGTCGCATGGGTTCGAGGTTCTGCGAGAAAATGCGAGTGTTGTCAGAGTGTTCTTATCTGGCGCCCCAGGAGTTTGTGGGTACTGGAAAGACTCGCCTCCTGGCACTGATCAGTTGCGAATAAGCACGTGGCATGTGCTGTGTCCCATTCTGAATTGATGCTCATGAATTACATCCAGGTGGTCGTGCACGCTTCGGGCTGTCGTTCTGGCGCTGGTAAGTTGGCGAGTTGCCTGATAAACTTAATTCAACTTGCCAATGCTAGCGATGAACATGCCACACCAATTCCCGCGTTGATCAGTTGCTGACAAGTATGTTTAACATCACACTCTAAATCCATGTTCAAATTACATCAATGCATCCAGCTAGTCGCGCACGCTTCAGGTTGTCGTTCTAACATTGACGAGTGGGGTTGAAATTTCGGATCCATTTTAACTCGCCAGCGCCAGCGACGCACGTGCTGTACTCTTTATGATGCAGACCCGTTATCCACCATCTCCACCTGGTTCGCGGGCGTCCTTATTTGGTGATTCCTCCTTGCACGATCAAGTGTCACTCTCGTAACGTCGAGCTGTTGATGCGACTGCGTCTTCTCATGGTGACTTATTACTAACATACTTAGGCTAGCGGGCGGTGGCGGACACCTCGAATTGAGTTAGGAGTGATGCATGGTGTTACACTATAACAACATCACTAACTCAACTTCGCCAGTGCTGGCGAAGTAAATGCTAAATGATGTAGATGTTATCTCTAAGTTAGTCTAGGTTAACAGCGATTCCAAGGAGAGCCTTCGTCGATGACCAATATTAGCTTGTATGATGTGTATGTCTCTATTCTGTCTCAATGCGCTCACTTCCCTTCCTGTGTAACTGAATGATTTAGCATTACGGGTATTTTGAATTTCCAGCGGGAATAAGCTATGTTCCGAATCGGCTCCAGCAGGCAAAGCGCTCTTGGGTAAGTCGTCCGTTGCTATCACTATTAATGTGAGGGTTTCTGACAGGTTGCGACGCGTGAGGTATTGCTCTTTCATATGTACTTGGCTAATGAAAGTTTCGCTGACAATGGCGTAGAACAGGTTTCAGCAACGTACGCCGTCCATTGTATGACGAACTTCACGACGCTGCGAGTGGACATTGACGAGCCAAAGGAGGTGCCATGGTGTGTTTTTATCAGTGGCTGTACAGTGTTTTGAGACAAGAGCAGCGGCGAGTCGAAGAAAGCGATCATAGTGAATACTAATATTAATACTGATGCCATCGGCACGGGCTTGGGTGGTCATACGACGAGGTGCTGGATAACCTCCCAATGCACCTATCCATGGCTGTGTCAGTTGGTTGGAGAGGCAAAAAGGGTTGGGGGAGTGTGTACCCGAGGACGATTCAGAGGATGGCATAGGGAAATGTGGTCTCCACGTTATCCTACGGCATTGATAACATTGTAATGGCGGCCCTCGACTTGGTCTTTTTATTTTGTTTTGCATTGGAAAATGACTGCCAATCCATGGTGTTCTTCGATTTGTAGATGTCCATCTTCACCAGGCTTAGCCAATTAGACATGACAGAGATTGTCGCAGGCCCGAAACCTGCTCAACAATATTGATAATCTTTTCCTTTCACCACACCTTGAATATTCACGCATGGATGAATCCTTCAAGGTCTGTCCTAAATAGTCACGGCCAACGACACCAGAACAGATTAGAAATCTGCTCTCTTAACGATTGTCCGGCCCTCTTATCACACCGACATTCGCTCTAGTTGACTCGGGATGAATAGTAAACATCTATTTGATGGTCGTTAATCAAAGTTTGAAATGATCGATTATCTTCGATGCTAATGGCAAATCACACACACCTGGCATGATGTTGATAACCAGAGGAGATCAAAGGAAACCTCGCAACCGTAGGATCTCCGCTGCGAATGTTCCAGAGAACAGAAGCTCAACATGTCGCCGGTGGAATACTACGTCTTTGGGTGACGATTTGATTAGAATTCGAGGTGCATGGCCAATCAGGTGGATCAGGTGGACCGTGTGTCTCCCTATCTACCGCATGGAATCCTGAATCAAGCTCATTGACTAATGTGGAAAGTTACGCCGACACGACTTCGACGTATGAGCTCACTCGTTTAGATCATTGAAGAAGGTACCTATGATAATAGCGTCACTGTTTGGGCATCTAGTGAGAGGTTAATGCTATAAAGCAGGTTTGAAATACCACATCATACGCACCTCCGCAACTTCGACCAAGACGCCATCCCCCCACACACACCAAGCCTACCTCATCTGTGTTGCAGCTCTACTAAATGGCAGCACTCATTCCGAGCACCACGCCCATTCGGGCATTTGAAGATCACGAGGATCGCGTGGTCGGAGTTGCAGCCCTCCAGGGCGAACGCATGGTCACGGGCTCGTATGACGGGATGCTTCGGCTGTGGGACTTGAAAACGGGTTTAGTGTTGAAGAAGATGGAGGGGCATCGCAGTCGGGTGCGGGCATTGGCTGTTTCACCAAATGGGTGCTGGATAGCAAGCGGTGATGAGAGCGGAGAGCTCATCGCCTGGAATGGACAAACTGGGGAACTACTCAACCAAGCAATCAAAGCCCATGACGGCTGGATATTTTCACTTGACTTTTCGCGGGATAGGTACAACTGCAGCACGCTGGCCAGTGGATCATCTGACACTACCATGAAGCTATGGAGCACATCAACGTGGCGGGTGGAACATTCGCTCAGTTGCTATGGAAATGTCCACTGCATTCGGTATTCGCCGTCTAGCTGCAGTTGTCTTGCGATTGCAACGGACCACAATGTTCAAATAGTCCAAATTTACAAAGATTACAGTTGGGGTCCATTTTCCGCTCGTTTGACAGGAACGATCGGTGGAGAATTCAACTACTCACTCGCGTGGACGCCCGATGGCTCACGGCTTTTCTCGGGGGGAATGGGACTGATCCTACTATACGAGAGTGGAATTCATCGACCTGGCGGCAGGTCGGTGAACCCTGGAAGGGCCATTTCAAGAATATCCACGCCATTTCTCTGAACTCTAGCGGCACTCTCCTTGCCTCTGCATCTCATGACAACCGTGTCCGCCTGTGGCGGCTCTCAGATCGACGAAACATTGCCATACTCAAGCACTCTGGGGAGGTGAACTGCGTCACGTTCTCTTTGGATGACAAGCACATCCTCAGCGGAGGTGTGGATAAAAAGATCTCAGAGTGGCCAACATCCGAGGACGCGGCTTTACACCAGGATGGTCCAAAGGATAGCCTCATGAAGGAGCAGGCGACGCACCAGGTAAATTTGTTTTCCGTTTTCCGCCCATTCATAATCTAAATGTTTTTTTATGCCAAGGCTCAAGCCCACTCTGATTTCAAGGTACGTGCCCACCTTTGGCTCGTATAACGCAATGTGCATATGATTTGCGCAGATCCTCGCTATGAAGTCGGCAGTCCGCAACGCGTGCATAGCTGGGGACTTGCCTACTGCTGAAAAGGTGCTAGATCTAGATATTGACGCTGACGCCAACGATCACAACGCTTATGCTAATCGCGCATGTCTTGTGGCGCGAAAGTGCGACTGGGACCAAGCGCTTCAAGATGCAGTTCAGGTGAGGCTGACTGACTCATCATAACTTTCTTGCGACAGTTAACTTTGATCATGGCATAGTCCGTCAGCATTCGGCCATCGTTGGTAGGCCATATCTCCAAGGGCATTGCCCTCTGCGGAAAAAAGCAGGTTCTAGCCGCAAGGGTATCATTTGATCTCGCATCCATGTTTACGAACGGAGATTTGAAGACTGATCACTTCCTTTTCCTGATTAAGGCATGTCATATTTTTCTAACGTGCTCCGTGCTTCATTGCGGTTTTTTAGTCCATTGCGTTGTTCAACGCAGATGAACATCAAGAGGCAATGTGTCGCATCGGAGAGCTAGTTGCGTGTCCCAATGTTGATCGTGTTGCTTGTCGCATCGTGGAAGTGAGTACCATGCGCTCGATCACACTAGGTTCATGTGCTGTCATTGATTTCTCTTGCCCTTCGCACACCAGGCCTACCTACGCGTCCAATTGGGAAACATTGCCTTGGATGATGGGCGCCACAACGAAGCTGTCGAACACTTCACTGCCGCCGTTAATGCTAGTGCTTTCTTTTACAAATCGCCGATTCATTTGATGTACGACGAATTTGTCGCGGTACGCTGATATGACGCAACCGAAAATTATTTCGTACTCAACTGCACGTTTTCCGCAGCTCTTTGGCTGGGACCTCAAGTCCTTGTGGCACACCGCGAGCCAACAACAATGTTATGCGCTCTTTCGAGCAGGTAGTTTTGGAGCAGCCATCGAATGTTATCAGTCCATCATGGATAAGACTGACGAGGATATGAAGGCCGGCTTTCGTGCTGGGTTCACTAGTGAGTATTTCAGTAATGTCTCCCCGTCTCTCCACTTATAATCACCAACTACACTGCACTCAGCTCTCAAGTAAGATCGAAATACACTCTATACTTCCCATGGAGATGGTGCGCTTGCAACGAACGGTTCTTATATAGTTTGAAACAAAGAGATCCCCGAGTAGTTTTCACTTGTACCTTGACAGTAGCTGCATTGCTCCAATAGCCCTCGGTGCTCGTTGGAAAAATACCTGACCTGGACACAGGTATGATAAGTCTACAATACTAAGTTAGTATGAGTGAGATAACTGTTGATGAATGGACATACCCCCAGTCTCGGATAGAAGACTAAGGGTAACAGACAATGAGCGCTTGAGCGTCCAGGTATTAAGTGAGTGTTTTGGGAGTCATCATACGATGAGGTACTGGATAACACCACCCATCCGGGGGACTCATATCAACTGTCCCTTCGACACTCCCTCCACGGCAGCCCTACAACGTTTCATACACAGCACGATCGACTAGTGCGCTTTCGTCGGCATGTGGAGTGCGGCCAGACGTATCAGTGTTTGACAATTCACAGAAGGAGGAGTGGCAGCGCACGCAATGGAGTTGTGGTGGCGAGGAGAATTCGTGGAAGAAATGGGTGAGAGCGGTGAGTACGCGCAGGGAGGGGGTATCAGTGGGGGATCGGAGGTCGGGAGAGGTGAGTGAGTGTGTATGCATGTAGGGTTTGGGGAGGGATGGAGTGTACGAGGTCGTGCAAGGCTGTTGGGTCTGTTACCTCGGGTTCGGGCTCGATCTCGGTGGCGCAGGAATTGGGTAATGATTGTCCGGCTCTCTTATCACACCGACATTCATTCTAGTTGACTCGGGATGAATAGTGAATATCTATTTGATGATCGCTAATCAGAGTTTAAAACGATTGACTATCTGCAATGTTAATGGAATATCACACATACCGATGATGCTGACAATCAGAAGAGATCAAAGGAAGCCTCGCAACCGTAGGATTTCCGCTACAAACGTTCTAGAGAACAGAAGCTCAACACGTCACTGGGTGGAATACTACATCTTTGGGTGACGACTTTATTAGAATACGAAGGCATGGTCAATCAGGTGGATCAGGTGGACCGTGTATCTTCCTATCTGCCGCATGGAACCCTGAAACAACTACGATCAAGCTCGTTGACTAATGCAGAAAGTTACGGCGACATGACTTGAACGAATGAATTCATCCGTTTAGATCATCAAGCAAGGTACTTATGATAATAGCGTCACTGTTCGGCGTCTAGTGAGAGGTTAATGCTATAAAGCAGGTTTAAAATGCCCCATCACACGCACCTCTGCAACTTCGTGTAAGACCCAACCCCCCCGCACACCAAGTCCACTTCAACTGTGCTGCAGCTCCACTAAAATGGCGGCACTCATTCCAAACATCTCACCCATTCGAGCATTTGAAGATCACGGGGATCGTGTGGTCGCAGTTGCGGTGTTCCGCAATTATGATAAACTCGAACGTATGGTCACGGGCTCATATGACGGGATGCTTCGTCTGTGGGACTTGAACACAGGTATAGTGTTGAAGAAGATGGAAGGGCACCACAGTCGGGTGCGGGCATTGGCTGTTTCACCAAATGGAAATTGGATAGCAAGCGGTGATGAGAGCGGAGAGCTCATCGCCTGGAATGGACAAACTGGGGAACTACTCAACCAAGCAATCAAAGCCCACGACGGCTGGATATTCTCGCTTGACTTTTCGCGGGATTCCAGGGCGCTAGCCAGTGGATCATCCGACACCACCACGAAGCTATGGGACGTATGGAACCAGTGGTGCTTGCGAAGTTCACCCAATTGTTGTGGCGGAAATGTCCACTGCGTTCGGTATTCGCCATGTAGCGACTATACACTTCTTGCGATTGCAACGGACCATAATGTCCAGATTTACAACAATTACTATGACACATATCATTACAAACCCACATCTCCATTCCCCACTCAGTTGATGAGAACGATTGATGGAAGATTCAACTACTCACTCGCGTGGACGCCCGATGGTTCACGGCTTTTCTCGGGGGGTAACCGGGCTGATCCCACCATACGAGAGTGGGATACATCGACCTGGCTGCAGGTCGGTGAACCCTGGAAGGGCCATTTCAAGAATATCCACGCCATTTCTCTGAACTCTAGTAGCACTCTCCTCGCCTCCGCATCTCATGACAACTGTGTCCGCCTGTGGCGACTCTCGGATGGACGAAACATTGCCATATTCAAGCACTCCGGGGAGGTGAACTGCGTCACGTTCTCTGCGGATGGCAAGCACGTCCTCAGTGGAGGTGTGGATAAAAAGATTTCAGAGTGGCCAATATCCGAGGACGCTTTGCCAGAAAATGATCCAAAGGATGGCCTCATGACGGAGCAGGCAACGCACCAGGTAAGTTCGTTTTCATTTTCCTGCCCATTCATCATCTAAAGCGGCTTTTTTATTCCAAGGCTGAAGCATACTCTGATTTCAAGGCATGTTCCCACCTTTGACTCTTATAACGCAATGTAAGCATGTTTTACGCAGGTCCTCACTATGAACTCGACAGTACGCGATGCGTGCATAGTTGGGGACTGGCCTACTGCTGAAAAGGTGCTAAATCTGGATATTGGGGCTCATCCCAATGATCACACCTCCTATGCCAATCGCGCATTTGTTATGGCGCGAAAATGTGAGTGGAACCAAGCGTTTCAAGATGCAATTCAGGTGAGTTTGACTGACTCATCATGACCTCCTTACAAAAGTTCACTTTGATGATGGCTTAGTCCATCAGCATCCAGCCATCGTTGGTAGGCCATATCTCTAAGGGCATTGCCCTCTGTGGACAAAAGCAGGTTCTGGCCGCAAGGATATCATTTGACCTCGCATCCCTGTTCACGAACGGAGATTTACAGACCGATCACTTTCTTTTCTTGATCAAGGCACGTAATATTTATGTAACATATTCCGTGCTCCATTGTGGATTTTAGTCCATTGCGTTGTTCAATGCAGGTGAACATCAAGAGGCAATGCTTCGCATCGTAGAGCTAGCTGCCTGTCCCAATGTCGATCCTGTTGCTTGTCGTGTCGTGGAAGTGAGTACCATGCGCTCGATCATACCAGGTTCATGTACTGTCATTGATTTCTCTTACCCTTTGTACACCAGGCTTACCTACGCGTCCAACTGGGAATCATAGCCTTGGGTGGCAGGCGCCACGACGAAGCTGTTGGACACTTCAATGCCGCCGTGAATGCTAGCACATTCTTTTACAAATTGCCAATTCATTTGATGTACGACGAATTTGTCATGGTACGCTGATATGACGCCACCGAAAATTGTTTCATGCTCAACTGCGTGTTTTCCACAGCTCTTTGGCTGGGGCCTCAAGTCCTTGTGGCACACCGCGAACCAACAACAGTGTTATGCACTCTTTCGAGCGGGTAGTTTTGGAGCAGGCATGGAGTGTTATCAGTCCATCATGGATAAGACTGATGAAGATATGAAGGCCGGCTTTCGTGCTGGGTTCACTGGTAAGTACTTCAGTAATGTTACCCCGTCTGTCGGTCAATAATCATACATCGCACTTTACTCAGCTCTCCAGTGTGATCGAAACGCACTCGCATCGAGCGATTACTCGTAGTTTGAAACAGAGGGATCCTCGAATAATTTTCATTTATACCTTGACGGTAGTTATATTGCTTGAATAGCCCTTGGTCCTTGTGTCATAATATACTGGCCAACTCGAACATGTTTACCCTATGTTTCGGAGTCTCTTTGCTTTCACTTGAAACCATTTCTGCACATCGTCTCGCGCGTCTGTCTTGATATTTCAGGCTGAGCTAAGCGCGATTGTTAGACGTGTAATCTAACTTGTTGTGAATATTCCATATGATGATCATACGCGAGGCGCTGGATAACACCACCCACTCGGGGGACCCATATCACCTGTGCCTTCGATGCTCCCTCCACAACAGCACCAGGATGTTTCATGCACAGCACGATTGACGAGTGCGCTTTCATCGTCATGTGGAATGTGGCAAGACGTATCAGTGTTTGACAATTCAAATGAGGAGTGGCAGTGCATGTACTGGAGTTGTAGTGGCTGGGAAAGTTCGTTGAAGAAATTGGTGAGAGCGGTGAGTATGCACATGTGAGGTTTGAGCAAGGACACAGTGTATGAAGTCATCAAGGCTGTTAGGTCTGTTAGGGCTCGGTCTCTGTGGTGCAGGAATTAGGTGGAGTTGGCAATAGAGGTACTAGAGAGTCAGTGTGGTGAATTGAGGGACAGGGTGTGTATGGTTGGGCGTTGATGTTGGTGGTGAATCGGGCTTGCGAGTGAATAGACTGAAAACCATCGTAAAACATTGATCTGAGTGTTTCGGTGAAAAATGTACGATTGAATACGTACAATTGGTAGATAATAGTGAACAGAGGAAGTACGGTACTAGAAACAATATCTAAAAGCTATGAAATGATAATCTGGAGCATGCTCGAAGTCAATGCGTGCAGCACACCGCCTATATACCAAACAATTGCAAATACAGACGAAGCTACTCCCAGTCCCCACCATGATGCTATTTCTGTGCTTCCTCATTTGCATGACGTTGGAACGTGTTTTACTGCAGAAAATCTCATAACATTCTGTGAGCATACAGTGTAAGCATATGCATGCCTTGAGGTCTGGGATGTCGAAACACAGAAATTGAATGTGAGAGTAGGGGGTCCTGTGGGAGGCTCAGGCAAGTCACAAATATCCCTCTAATTTGTCCATACTGACCATGTTCGATAGGCCCGTCATAGGCACAGCTGGTTCCAGTGCTTCTATTTGCAAAAGTAGGCTCGAATATCACAAACTCGACCATCCATGGCACGACAACTACATATGGTATGCAATTTGTATTATGTTAGGAAACCTATATGCAACATCCATAACGGTTCCGTGTAGAATTGCATGCGCTAGAGTGGAAACATAAACCGATGGGACCATCTTAGAAGATTGTCGCCATACTGATTACCATCCTAAACCACCTGAATCCGGGAAACAACATGTCTTCGAGTTGCTGATTCAAAATCCCGAATCCGAAATAGCTGACTTGGGATGAATAATAAACACCTATTCGATGATCGTTAATCAGAGTTTGAAACGATCGATTATCGATTATCTTCAATGCTAATGGCAAGATGCTGACAGCCAGAGGAAATCTCACAAACGCAGAATCTCCGCTACGAATGTTCCAGATGATGGAAGCCCGACATGTGACCAGGTGGAATACTACGTCTTTGGGTGACGACTTCAATAAAATTCGATGGTATGGCAAATCAGGTGAGTCAGGTGAACCGTGTATGTCGTCTTCCTATCTGCCATGTGGACCCCTGAAACGACCACGATCAGGCTCATTGACTAATGTGGAAAGTTGCGGCGACATGACTTGAACGCATGAGCTCACTCAACGGTTTACATCATCAAGCAAGGTACTTATGATAATAGCGTCATTGTTTAGGCGTCTAGTGAGAGGCTAATGCTATGAAACAGGTTTAAAATGCCCCATCACATGCACCTCTGGAACTTCGAGCAAGACGCCATCCCTCCCACACACCAAGTCCACCTCAACTGTACTGCAGCTCCACTAAATGGCGGCACTCATTCCAAACACCACACCCATTCGGGCATTCGAAGATCACGAGGATCGCGTGGTCGGAGTCGCAGCCCTCCAGGGCGAACGCATGGTCACGGGCTCATATGACGGGATGCTTCGTCTGTGGGACTTGAAAACAGGTTTAGTGTTGAAGAAAATGAAGGGGCATCGCAGTCGGGTGCGGGCAGTGGCGGTATCGCGAGATGAGCAATGGATAGCAAGCGGTGATGAGAGCGGAGAACTCATCGTCTGGGATGGACAAACTGGGGAACCACTCGACCAAGCAATCAAAGCCCACGACGGCTGGATATTTTCGCTTGACTTTCCGCGGGATAGGTACAACTGCAGCACGCTCGCCAGTGGATCATCTGACACCACCGTGAAACTATGGAGCACATCAACGTGGGAGGTGCAACATTCACTCAATTGCTATGGAAATGTCCACTGCGTTCGGTATTCGCCATCTAATTACCATCTTCTTGCGATTGCAACGGACCACAATATCCAAATAGTCCAAATTCAAAGGGGTTGTTACAGTACACTATCCGCTCATTTGACGAGAACGATCGGTGGAAGATTCAACCACTCACTCGTGTGGATGCCCAATGGCTTACGGCTTCTCTCGGGAGGGAACAGGACTGATCCCACCATACGAGAGTGGGATACATCGACCTGGCAGCAGGTCGGTGATCCCTGGGAGGGCCATTCCAAGAATATTCACGCCGTTTCTCTGAACTCTAGTGGCACTCTCCTTGCCTCAGCATCTCTTGACAACTGTGTTCGCCTGTGGCGACTCTCGGATGGACGAAATATTGCCATATTCAAGCACTCCGGGGAGGTGAACTGCGTCACGTTCTCTGCAAATGACAAGCACGTCCTCAGTGGAGGTGTGGATAAAAAGATCTCAGAGTGGCCTACATCCGAGGACGCTTTGCCGGAGGATGGTCCCAATGATGGCCTCATGAAGGAGCAGGTGACGCACTGGGTGAGTTTGTTTTCATTTTCTCGCCCATTCATCGCCTAAGCCTCCTTTCTACACCAAGGGTCAAGCTTACTCTGATTTCAAGGCATGTTCCCACCCTCGACTCTTATAACACAATATTAATGCGATTTACCCAGGTCCTCGCTATGAACTCGGCAGCCCGCAATGCGTGCATAGTTGGGAACTTGCCTACCGCTGAAAAGGTGCTGAATCTGGATATTGTGGCTCACCCCAACGACCACACCGCCTATGCCAATCGCTCATTTGTTATGGCGCGAAAAAAGGACTGGGACCAAGCGCTCAAAGATGCAATTCAGGTGAGACTAGCTGACCCATCATGACCTCCTTGCAAAAGTTAACTTTGATGATGGCATAGTCCGTCAGCATTCAGCCATCGTTGGCAGGCCATATCTCCGAGGGCATTGCCCTCTGCGGCAAACAGCAGGTTCTCGCCGCCAGGATATCATTCGATCTCGCGTCCATATTCACAAATGGAGATTTAAAGATGGACCACTTCCTTTTCTTGATCAAGGCACGTAATATTTTTCTAATATACTCCGTTCTTCATTGCAGTTTTTAGGCCATTGCATTGTTCAATGCAGGTGAACATCAAGAGGCAATGCTTCGCATCCAAGAACTAGTGGCGTGTCCCAATGTCGACCCTGTTGCTTGTCGTATTGTGGAAGTGAGTACCATGCGCTCGACCACACCAAGTTCATGTACTGTCATTGATTTCTCTTACCCTTTGTACACCAGGCTTACCTACGCGTCCAACTGGGAATTATAGCCTTGGGTGGCAGGCACCACGACGAAGCTGTTGGACACTTCAACGCCGCCGTGAATGCTAGCACTTTCTTCCACAAATTGCCAATTCATTTGATGTACGACGAATTTGTCGCGGTACGCTGATATGATGCTACCGAAAATTGTTTCGTGCTCAACTGCGTGTTTTCTGCAGCTCTTTGGCTGGGACCTCAAGTCCTTGTGGCACACTGCAAACCAGCAACAGTGTTATGCACTCTTTCGCGCAGGTAGTTTTAGAGCAGCCATCGAATCGTATCAGTCCGTCCTGGATAAGACTGACAATAGTTTGAAGGCCAGCTTGCGTGCTTGGTTCGCTGGTACGTATTTCAGCAATGTCTCCCTGTCTCTGCATCTATAATCATTAACTGCACTTAACTCAGCTCTCAACTAAGATTGAAACGTGCTCTACGCTTCCCATAGAGATGGTGTGCTCAGTCGGCGGTTACTTATTTAGTTTGAAACAGAGATCCTCGAGTAGTTTTCATTTGTACCTTGATGGTAGCTGCATTGCTCAGATACACCACTCACCCGGGAGACCCACATCACCTGTCCCTTCGACGTTCCCTCCATAGCAACCCCACAACGTTTCATATGCAGGACGATCGACGAGTGCGCTTTCATCATCATGTGGAATGAAGCAGGATGTATCGGTGTTTGACAATTCAAAGGAGGAGTACTAGTAGCAGCATACGCAACGAAGCTGTGGTGGCGTGGAGAGTTCGTGGAAGAAATGAGTAAGAGTGGTGAGTATGCATGGGGAGGGGGATCGGAGGTTGGGGAGAGGTGAGCGTGTAGGGTTTGGGGAGGGACGGAGCATACGAGGTCATACATGAAGCTGTTGAGTCTGCTACCCCCAGCTCAGGCTTGGTAGTGCAGGAAATTGGATGGCGGAAGGGTACTGGTGAGTCCTAGTATGGGAAATTAAAGGAGAGGTGTGTGTAGTTGGGCGCTGGGTGGTAAATCGGGCTTGCGAGTGAATAGATTGATGACCATTGTAAAAGGTTGATCCAAGTGTTTCGGTTAAAATTTTACAGTTTGTAGATAGTAGTGTTACTCAAAGTAAATTTTGCTCTGTAAAACAAACTCGGTAAAGCGTGTAAAAAGCTCATTTAAGTCTTCAACAAACTCGGTAAAGCGTGTAAAAAAGCTCATTTAAGTCTTCAACAAACTCGGCATAAGACACACGGCACACAGCGGACTTGGAAACACTTAGTGAAATTTCGAGACATGTATACTACTACACAAATATGTAGATGGTAGTTAATGAGCGTGAAATAAATGCACCGCGAGATCAAAACAGAGCGCGGGAGCATGAACAGCACAAAAACCAAAACGAGAGCAGCGGGAGGGGTAGATGGAATGAGAGCAGCCGGAGGGGCAGAAAAAGCTACAGCGGGAGGGGCAGAAGGAACGAGAGCGGGGGGGGGAGCAGAAGTAACGAGAGCGGGGGGGGAGCAGAAGTAACGAGAGCGGGGGGGGAGCAGAAGTAACGAGAGCGGGGTGGACAGAAGTAACGAGAGCAGCAAAAGTAATGGGTTCTGTGGGAGGGGCAGAAGGAACGAGAGCAGCAAAAGTAATGGGATCTGTGGGCGCTAGCAGGGGAGGAATGATTTGCGAATCTGTAAGTTGACGGCGGCTTAGTGGAGTGATATGAGGGGGGGGGCTGAGCCCTGGCGGCACATTTGGAATGCGTGGAGGGGCCACTGTAAGATAGATGGCGGTAGTGGATGGCTCGGCGGAGTCCATCGCTCTCAGGCTACAGCGCACTGGAGGGTTGCCTCCAAGTCGTGCAGAACGACGAAGGCGTTGGCGAACAGCAGGCATATTTGGAACTCAGCCACGATGCCGGCCTGACTTCCAAACCTGCCGCATGCGGCTGTGCTTGCTTACAAGAGTTTTGACGGTGTTAGCGAGTTTGTTTTACAGAGCAAAATTTACTGTGAGTAACACTAGTAGTGAAAAGGCCCTAGCTAGGACGGTAAAAATGATATCTCAAACCTATGAAATTATAATCTGAAGCATGAGGTCAATTAATGCGGCGTCATCGCCTGTATACCAAACAATCACAAATACAGTTCAAAGCTGTCTCCGCTTCCTATTTCCATGATGCTGGGACGTGAAATTTATTGCAGAAATTCTCATAACATTCCACGGGATCATATATTCATCCAATTTGTTTCGCGTGCTCCAAAGTGCATGCACATTGTACATTGTGGCATCAAGCTGAGTTTGAAATCTTCGCTGACCTTCAGTGCCAACTTTCTCCCTCCTTTGACCCTTGTCTTTTCCTCAGATGAGCTGTAACGTCCAAGGCCGCTGAGACGGGCATCTCAGGTATCCTCACTGCTGCAAACATAAACGCGGACTATCGTCGATATCTCTCTCACTTATGGCAGCTGTCCTTATTGTTCTCCTTCCCCCCTTCTGCACACTCAAGAGCTACTCCTGCCCGCCAATGCTGTTTTCCATTGACAAGTATGTGCCCCATGTTTGACACTCTCGGGTGACATATACACCTAGGTAGTCGCATACCCCACTCATTTCCATTCTCAACAACCTAACTTGCCTAGCGATCACAGTTCACGTCTCTTGCTCTGTTCCTTACGAGTTTAGTAACTGAGGGCGTGATTATTCAGCGGTTCTTAAGTGTGATCGTTGATTAGCATCAAATCACACCACACGCTCGAGTACCACCGTCATGACCCCAGGCAGTTTTTCTTTTTTTTCTTTCTTTCTCTAGTGATGCTACTCTATCTGCCCTCGCTGATCCATTGCTCACAAGTACGTGTCGCTTCCTATCTCAAATCCATGCTCATATATATGGAGGTTGTCTCGCATGCCTCAGACTGTCATTTCGGTAATCGCCAATCACTGCAGTTCCCGCGTTCCTGAACATCTCGTTTGCATTGGGGTGTATTCGGCCAGGTATTTCCAATGATTGCTCGACCGTGAAGACACCAATGCAAACTCGTTGTCGGTATGCAGTTGTTACTATTGCATCTAAGGCCAAATGTATTAAGTTATGCGAGAAAATGTGAGTGTTGTCAACATGTTCTTATTCAGCGGTCCTTGATATTGTGGTGGGTACTGGAGAGACTCGCCTCCTGACGTTGATCGGTTCCAAATAAGTGCGTGATACGCGCCATGTCTCATTCTCAATCAATGCTCATAAATTGCATTCAGGTGATCGCGCTCGCCTCAGGCTGTTGTTCTGGGCGTTGGTGAGTTGCCTGACAAACTACAGGAAACTTAGTCCAACGCGCCAATGCCAGCAATGAACATGCCACTCCAATTCCTAGGCCGATCACTTACCGATAAGTACATGCAACATCACATTTTGAATACATGTTCATATTAAATGCATCCAGATAGTCGTGTACACTTCAGGCCGTCGTTCTGGCATTGACGAGTGGAATTGAAATTTTGGAGGTGTCTAACTTGCCAGTGCCGCGACGCACATGCCATACTCTTTATGACGCAGGCCCGCTATCCCCTGGTTTGCAGTCCTGTCAGGGGCATTATAATTTGGTGACTCCTTACGTTCTCTCCTTGCACGCTCAAACACCACTCTCATAACATCGAGCTGTTGATGCGACTGTGCCTTCTCATGGTAATTCATTGCTAATATACTTAGGACCTAGGGTGGCGGGTAGTGGCAGACACCTTGTTCTGACCTCGGCAAATCGAGTTAGTAATATGGTGCATAGTGCTATATGTCATACTTACAACATCGCTAACTCAACTTACCAGCGCTAGCGAAGCAAATGCTAAATGATGTAGACCATCATCTTAAGGAAGATTTTAATTTAGGTTAACTCCAGGATGTCGGCGATTGCCTCCAATGCCAGGAGAGCCTTCATCGTTGCTTGTATGACGCCTACGGTCGACTCAGCATACGCTATCGCCCACCCCGAACTACTAGCTGCTATCTCAACACCCAATCCCACACCAGAAACAGGAACAGATATCAAAGAAATGCCTCCACAATTAAATGTCTCACTGCACTCATCTATGTCTCAGTTGCCTTGTTGTGTAGAACGATTTAGCCTTACGGGTAAAGCAATGGTGGTGGTCATTGAATGACGATGAACCCGATCATAAACAACAAGGTGTATTATTCTATGGCTGCAGCATCAGCATGATTAGAATGCGCACCGTCCATCGTGCGACAAATTTCACGATATTGCGAGTAGATATTGATGAGAGAATGTACCACAGTGGGTTGTTATCAACGGGTGCACAAAGAAACTGTTAAGACGCGGAACTCTGCGGACTGTCCTGGAGGTTAGTGTAAGAGGTAAGGCTGAATGTTTCACGTTTATGTCGATGTTTTTAGCTTGCGCTTGTGTCTGAATGGCGTCCGAGCTGGTAGGGTGCATAGAGCTTGGAAACGGATTCATTTCTTCGTCATTCTCATTTGACCAGCAGATGACCAGGACATTTGAAGTTCGGGCACTACCGCCTGCACCATGATTATTTAACGATGGACCCGTGATGATCATGTCAAAAAGATATCGAGTTGAAGACAGGCACGCTAGATATCAGAAGTGACGAATCAAAGACAGTGACTGCCAGCTTTTTTTTCGAGACGTTGAAGCAAATACTAATGTTGACAGTCGGGCGAGGCTCAGGGCAACCTCCTAATGCACGTCTTCAAGGCCATCTCGGTTAGTTGGTGAGGCGAAAATGGGTTGGATGACTTAATTGAGAACGGTTGAGGAAGAGTGATCTCCATATTGTCCTAGTGTCAATAACAACTATTTCTGCATCCCTGGAAACTACCCAAGGGTAGAAACACTAAGTTCAAGATCAGACAAGAGTAACGAGTAGAAGCATATGGGATTGAATGAGGATAAGAGATGATAGTCAATACATGCGATACGAGCTCGGTATATATAGGAGCTCGAACAAACAGCAGCAAACAACGCGCGGTGTCCAATCAACGAGTCCGATGAGTAAGCCCAGCTTACACCCTCCCACTCTATGAAGTTTCTTTTTGTTGTTCCCAGATGTCCAGCACTTTGCAATCTTCTAGGTCACGGTAGGGTAACCATTCATCTTCATTGGCACCAAATCCAACCCAGCGAATGAGGTACCTTTTTCCTCTACTGACTTTTTTCTCATCCACAATCTTCTTGATGAAGTTCTCCATCTGTCTGTCCTCAGTCACGACAGGTCTGGGCCTAGGGAAGTCACATGAAGGGAATAGTGTCATGTTGTTCGCATGGTATGGTTGTAGTTGTGAGGAGTGGAAGGTGGGGAAGATGTTTGGTGAATTCGGCAGGTCTAGAGTGTATGTTGACATTTCCGGGTGCGTCTGCAGGATGGTATATGGTCCATCGAATCTGGGCATAAACTTAGCAACACATTTATCACCTTTTTGCATGTACTCTCTTTGGCAATGTTTCATTGATAGCATCACTTTGTCCCCAACTGTTAGCAACAGCTCTGTGGATTGGTGCTTGTTCACCTGGACGGCTTGTGACACTTTGGCCATGAGGAGGTTGTCTTGTGCCTCCATGACATCGTGTTCAAGCTGGCTGATCAGCGAGTGTGCTCTTTCCTCCTCAGGTGTGTCGTTGTTGGTTGGCTGTACAAGAGGAGGTATGATGCAAGGCGATCGTCCTAAGTGTAGTTGGAAGGGCAACATTCTGGTGCTCGAGTTGATGGAGTTCATGATGTGAAAATGGACGCATGGTAGTGCCCGTGCCCATCCCTTCTGGTTGCATTTGACATAGTATCTAATGCATTGATTAATCGTTTTGTTAGTCTGTTCGCTAGTGCCGTCCATCTGGGGATGATAAGAGGATGACATCTTTAGTTTAACACCTGTCAGTTTATGTAATGACTTCCAAAAGCGAGAGAGAAAGAGCTTATCACGATCAGATACAATGCTTAAAGGTAGTCTGTTCTCGCAGTACCAATGGTTGAAGAATAACATCACAAACTGCTCGGCAGAGATGTTGTCATGACAAGGTATAATGCACAAATCTGCATTGAGGCGGTTGGTCATCATCACAATCATGTTGAAGCCTTGGTCTTCTGGAAGTGGTCTGATGAAGTCAATTGCAACAGAGTCTCCCCAAGCATCTGGGATTGGCAAGGGGTGCAACGATCCTGCAACCAAAGTCATTGGGGATTTGTTCCACATGCATTCAATGCAGCTTGGGATGTATGATTCTATGAGGTCCTTGTGCATGTTGGGCCAGTAATATGATGACCGGAGAGCTGCATAAGTTTTGTTGCTACCGAAGTGCCCTGACGCATCATGTGCTAGGTGGAACAATTGTTCTCGTAATGGGTTCACTTGAGGGATTACCAGGTGGTCGGCGATGTACAGCAGTCCGTCTTTTTGTATCAGACCTGGTAAGGAACCTATGAGGGATGTCAGTTTTCTGCAAAAGGGGTCATCTACATAACCGTTGAGGATGCTCTTGAGGAACATTTTATCTAGATTAATTTGCAATGTTGCTGGCATGTGATCTGGAGTTGATTGAGAGGATAGGGTGGATGCTATGGCAGCTGCAGTCAAGGGAGCTGTCATATCCTGTATGCCAGACATAGATCCCATCATATTCCCACGCTTTCCGGACCTGTTTCCGGACCCCATATCCAACTCATTCCTGGATCCCCTATCCTGTCCACCCTATGCACATTCTGTCCAGCAAGACATCCAGACTTTACCTCCTCTTGGATTCTGGACTACATCCACCACCTCACATATCTCAGTCCTGTTTCTGCCCTGCCTTCCGGATCCCCAGATCTCCGGACCTATTCCCACCCTCTGTCCAAGATCCTGCGCCTATCCCCATTTAGGCATCTCCGCCTTTCCGGTTCTTGGTTATCTCTGTTTCCGTCTTGCTGATTGATCCTTGTACTAGTTTCATCTCTGAGTTCATTTACATATGTTCCGTCTTACTTACCAATGTGTTTCCGCATGCTTGTACATAGCCTTACTCCTTTGCTTACTGATCCTCTCAGATAGCCTCTAGTATATAACCCCTGTACAACTACAGTAGAGTCCTCAGTCTGAATATCATCTTAGATCCTGTTCTACTTGCCAATCATCTTCCGGACTTCAGTCCATCTGAGTCTTGTCCTTTTCCATAAGGCCTAGGGATGGACTCCCTAGGCCGGAATTCTGGACCTCCGGATTTGTCCCCTATGTCTCTGTCCCAAGTCTAGGGATTGCTTCCCTAGGCTAGAGTCTTGCCTTTCTGGCACTTACCCTCTTTCCGGACTTAGGTCCACTTCCTGTCCCTCTGACTCTACCTTAGGGTAGTCTACCTCCGTTTGCTTCTACATTGGACTTCGTCCGATGTAGCCCCTATTCCTTCCGGACCTCCGGACCTCCTGTCCCTCATACCTCTGGGCATCCTGTCCTTTGGATGTTCTGCCCTCCGTACCTTCGGATGTTCTGTCCTCCATACCTCTGGACCTCCAGACCTCCTATCCTTCCAATATGTTTTCCTGTAGAAGTATTACCTTGCAGCAGGAACTCTCCTGAGCATTTCCTGCATTCCTCCGGAACTCTCCCGCACTCCTCCAGACGTTTCCCACACTCCTCCGGACGTTTCCTGCACTCCTCCAGAAGTCCTCCCGCACTCTCCACCAGAGTAGCCAGCCTCCAGAAGTCCTCCGGACTTTGTCGGACCATCATCGGACTTCCTCTGAAATGAAGGGCACATACTCGGGTAAGGGGCACAGCGTACGAGCTGAGGCCAAGCCCCTCTGAGTCAGTCTCTCTCTCCTTTGAGCATGGTTCTTAACAGGAGCTTCATCTAAGTGGAGACGTGACAAGGCATCGGCACCTGTGTTTTCTTCACCCTTGAGGTAGGAGATGGTGGAGGTAGGAGATGGTGAGGTCGAAGTGCATGAGGTACTCTGCCCAATGGGCCTGTCGCCATGAAAGTCCTTTTTGTGTCACAAAATTTTCGAGTGTCCTGTGGTCAGTATATACCTGTACTGGACCTCCCAGTAGTTCTATGTGCCATTTCTTCAGCCCGTGAATAATTGCAAGCAATTCCTTCTCGTGCACTGGATAATTTAATTCAGCATCACACAGTTGAGTGGAATCAAAAGCCACCGGTCTTGCTGTTTCCCATGTTTCTCCCCACAACAATACAGCCCCAGTTCGATAATCAGAGGCATCGCAGGTGAGAAATATCTTATTATTACCAGGATTGTCGTGATCGATTGTTGTCAGGCATTGAGGACTTGTTATGAGATTTTTGATTGCTTGGAAGGCAGTCTCATGGTGTTCTGTCCATAGTGGGAACACAAGATCCGCAGCCTTCGTCGTCAGAGGTGTCAAGATATGAGTGTGTTCTGCCAGGGCGGGCAGGTGATTCGCAAGATAGTGGACAAGACCAAGGAATGCACAAACATCGTTTGCTTTGCATGGTGTTGGCCAGTCCAGAATCTGTGCAACTTTTGATTTGTCGGATTCTATCCCACGCATCGAAATATGATGTCTGAGGAAGTCAATTTCGAGGTTGAACAGTGAAGTTTTCTTTGGTGAGCAGAACAGATGCACGGCTCGAAGTGCTAACAGAACTTCTTGCACGTTCCATTCATGTTCCTCCAGGGACTGAGACCAGATTATAATGTCATTGAGGTACATGTGGCAGATTTTGCTGATCAAGTGGCGCAGTGCTGATGACATGCATTGTTGGCGAGCAGCAGGTGCGTTATGCACCCCCATTGGCATCACAGTCCATTCATATAGTCCCCATAGTGTATGTACTGCCAGCAGTTTCATATCATCAGGGTGGACCTTGGTTTGAAAGAAGGAGTTAGTCATATCTATTTTACCAAATATACGACCCTTGGCGCAATCGCGCAGGATTTTGTCGATCTGTGGCAGTGGGTGGTTATCTGGAATGGTGTTTAGGTTCAATTGACGAAAATCATTAACCCACCGGGGAAGAGCAGTTGGATCTGCCTTCGGAATAATGAAGGCGGGTGAGGAATGCAGGCTATCTGATGGACGCAGTTGACCTGCTTCAACATGTTGGTCCAATAAGATTTTCCAAGCCTCCCTATACTTCCTCGGGCAGTCATATGCACGTTGTTGAATTGTTTTGTTTGCATCTTTCAAACACACGCGAAATAGGATGTCTGATGGCAAGGAGTCGTTGTGAGGAATATTGGCAGGGAAATAGTCCATGAACTCATGTTTCAGAGCGGCATCATGTTGTTTCAGTTGTTCTTCAGATGTGAGGCAGGCGATCTGTTCTTGAACAGCTCCAATGAGGTCAATGCCCTTTAGTGGCTCACAGGAGTTGTCCACTAATGTTTTATACTCCGGTAAGATGTGCTTTAGTTCTTGTACAACATCCAGATGAAGGTCTCGGATTTTTGGTGGAGAAGGTATTATTGATTGCTTATGAGACGTTGCTTTTGGTTGCAGGTTGAGAAGGTCATAATCCTGCTCTTTTATGATGCACGTCTGGAGCTCGTGGTCAATGACAATTTTGTTGTGGTGAAGGAAGGGACCACCAAGTAGAAGAGGAGTACAAAGGTTTGGCGTGACGACAGTGCGTACACTGCGAGAAGTATAACAAAAATCAATGGAAGTACAGGCGAGTTTCACATAGTCTGATAAAAGAAAGGTTTCCTTCTTGTCTCCAGAGAGGGCGATGTTGAAGGGTACAGGTGTTGGAAGTTTTCTACAGCACAGGCTGAGTTTGAGTGCAAGTTGTTCATCAATCAGAACTGCAGCAGAACCATCATCGATTAGCGCAGATATGTGAACAGGAGAGGAGACAGCGGGACCGTCGACATGACAATCCCAGAGAAGGAGAGGAGTGGTTAGTGGGGCCATGCACTCATCTGAGTCTGTACCGTTTCCCAGAGCTGCTGATGGCATGACTACCACAACCGTGTTCTCAACTTCTACAGAAGCAATCGTGTTACCCATTGTGACAGTCAAGTTTTCCTTGGGCTTAGATTTACTTACTTTACTTACCTTTACCTACCCTCACTTTCTTTAGCTTATGTTCGCATTTTTGCTGCTTACTTAAGCATGTATCTCTTTCACTAGTGTCAGTACCAGCCTGAATGACAGTCCCTTTTGATGATAATTTCTACTCTCTGAGCACTGAGCCAAGTCAGAATCCCATGGGCTGAACATACTGCTCTCCACTCAGCAGCTTGGCCAGCTGAAAAATGATTCCCACACTATCTTCTTGCTCTTCTTTGCAGCAATAGATGCGGCTGTGATCGTTTTGTATGATGCGCTGTCCGGGAACCCTTTGCTGCAGGTGGTTGTCATATGACCTGCAAAAGGTTCTCTGCACTTGAAACAACCATCGTTCTCGTGCAGAAGGGTTCTTCATCTGTGAGGGGTGGTACACACACAAAGGCGCCCATTTTCCCGGTAGTGTTTTGGCCAGCCTTAGAGTTGTATTGTGAGGAAGAATTGAGTTTTCTCTTGCCACCAAGGCATAGATGCTCTGCCCGGAGGGCCACTTCAACAGCTTCCTTCTGTTTGGCCGCAATTTGCAGGTGTTTTTCATCTAGGAGTCAGGTCTTCTTGAGCCAAGGATGGAACTCGTTGATGGCCAAAATGTCTTCAGAATGGTATTTGGTCCTGAGATCTGTATGCATATGTGCCTCTAGGTGATAGCATAAGTTCAATTCTGTCAGGTATGAGGGAGTATCATGGAGAAGGGCATTCAGACCCTGTACTTCAACTGCCCATTCATTGAATGGCTTGTTTCCTTGGGTCGAGGACAGCAACTTCTGCCACGTGATGTCCGCCCAGTCTGAAGGGAGCCAATAGGCTCGAACCTCTGCCATATATTCCCTAAACGTAAGTGCATCGAGATGTTCTTGGTCATTAAGGTACCACTCCTGTACAGAGGGTTCCAGCATGCCCCATGCCACCTTACCAACCTGCTCCTTGTTGGGAATGTTCTTGTGCTTGAAGTACTGGTGACAACCCATCTCCCAAGTACAAAGTATTTCTGGAGTGATGTCACCCATTGACAAGAACAGCGGTTTGGTTGGTGCAGGTTGCTCTACACAAGTGGTTTTGCTTGTGGACATGTTGTCCTGAGTATACATGTGATAAACATCTGAATCTGAGTCGGAGTCTGTAGTGGGATTGCGTCTGTGTGTACTGAAGTGTTCCTGGGTCGTCAATACAGACAGCTGTGGATGTTCTCCTGTTTCTGGTAGTGTAGGTACAACAGATTCGATAGGGATATTGAATTGTTGACGACGGCTACATGTAACCAGCGGTTGAACGACAGACGGTTGTGAATGGTGGTAAGACAGTTTGTATTACAGTGGGAATAATGGGGTGGTCAGTTTGGTCAGTTCTAACCTTGTTAAGGAAACATGGTTATACAGTCAATATGCCTTTCTAGGTCATTAAAAAAAAGTGGAAACTACCCAAGGGTAGAAACACTAAGTTCGAGATCAGACAAGAGTAACGAGTAGAAGCATATGGGATTGAATGAGGATAAGAGACGATAGTCAATACATGCAATATGAGCTCGGTATATATAGGAGCTCGAACAAACAGCAGCAAACAACGCATGGTGTCCAATCAATGAGTCTGATGAGTAAGCCCAGCTTACAATCCCCTGGCATCTGATGCAGATCTGCAACAGAGAGCAAGTAATGAAGAAAGTTGAATGCTACAGCATACCCAACTGTTCTGATTCCAACACTTTGGATCATTCAAAATATGCTACCCAAACACATACTTCAGTCATATTCAATGTAGAACCCTGGCTCCGGACATGCCAAAAGGCTGTAGAATCCAGGCCAGCCAGTCACTGGCCGGTTAACATAGGATCAGTGCTGGCCAGTCTCTCTAGAAATAGTGTTAGCTAGCATATTACAACCAGGGTGATATACATAGATCATGGGCTGGCCAGATTTTGATAATGCATTCCAGTATGAGCCTATTGACCAATCATTATATGTAGGATCAGTGCTGGCCAGTTTATACTGAAATATTATTAGCATGGCCAGCCTCACTATATGACATGTAGTATTGAGGCTGGCCATTTTATACTCAAATATTGCTATCATGGCCATCTTGACTATATGACATGTAGCAGTGAGGCTGGCCAGGTGATACATAAATATTGCTAGCATGGCCAGCCTGAATATATATGACAGCTAGCTAGTTTATACTCTAATATTGCTAGCATGGCCAGCCTTACTGTATGACCTGTAGTATTGAGGCTGGCCAGTTTATACTTGAATATTGCCAGCATGGCTGGTCTGACTCTATACCATGTAGTTTAGAGGCTGGCTTTGAGTATAAACTGGCCAGCCTCAATATTACATGTCATATAGTAAGGCTGGCCATGTTAGCAATATTTTAGTACACCCGACCAGCCTCACTGCTACATGTCATATAGTGAGGCTGGCCATGCTAGTAATATTTTAGTATACCACCTGGCCAGCCTCACTGCTACATGTCATATAGTGAGGCTGGCCATGCTGGTAATATTTTAGTATACCACCTGGCCAGCCTCACTGCTACATGTCATATAGTGAGGCTGGCCATGCTAGTAATATTTTAGTATAAACTGGCCAGCCTCAATACTACATGTCATATAGTAAGGCTGGCCATGTTAGTAATATGTAAGTATACTCTGGTTAGCTTTAATATTATGAGTCATATAATCAGGCTAGTCATGCTAGCACTATTTATTCATAGACTGGCCAGCCTCACTACTACATATCATATAGTGAGGCTGGCCATGATAGCACTATTTATGTATAAACCGGCCAGCCTCACTGCTACATGTCATATAGTTAGGCTGGCCACAATATTTGACTTAATGACAAGTAGTAGTGAAGGTGGCCAGTTGGCATGACTGAAGTTGGATGACTAGCATATATATTGTCTTTAATCAACTATGAAGACAATCAACACACATTTGACTCTAGGAAAGCTGGCTTCAAAAGTTCTATCTTTATGGTGTGGCTGACTACAGTCTACACATCATTTAGTTACTGAATTGTGATATCTGAAAGACAATCCTAAGTTATAATTAACAGCTTGTCCTTGAATTTCTCCTCAGCTTCCATCACAAATGCTTTCCACACCAGCACCTGTCTATAAGCATAAGGTTGATGACCAGATTTCATGGCTTCATTCCACCATTGATGCCATTTTTCTTCTTGATGTTTGAACCAACCTATTGTCCACCCCATTTCATGTTGAACCAAACTCAACTCCTCCTCCCACCTGTTCCATCTTGCCTTGGCCTTCAGCCAGTTCATTCTGTAGACTAAAAACATAATTTTTGAATTACATCAATCACATAGACCATAATGTTACTCACATTCATTCATCCAAGCATCTTTTTGACTCTTCTTTGCGCCATTAACTCTCCAAAACCAAGCTAGTTTGTCTGATCCCTGGCCAAATCGATTCTCTTCTGTTACCTCCTTGTCAATGTTGAGCTGTTCAGGTAAGATTTCTTGATAAATATTCTCTAGAGAATCTTGATCCATGCCCAGTCTCTCCATAGCCAATCTTGCCCTTTGATAACTCCGGACATATTTTTTGATTTTGATGTGGCAACATTGAGCTTCTTGCTTGGACCTTGTCCCAGTCCACACAGAATTAGCACTTCGAAAGTGTTGCCTGTAGATGATGGCCTTATGACCAAGAGCCAACTGAATCCTTTCAAGGCAATCATTGGCTTGACCTTTTCTCAGCTCCAGTTCCTCTGCCTGTAGGGCTAATAAATGAGCCAAAAAAACTTGATCATGAGGAACTGATGATGGCATCCAGAGGCCCATATGTTCAGCTGGAATTTCATCATCCACCAATTCTGAATCATCTTCAAGGTTGACAGGATGAGTCTCCCAGTCTTGCTCTTCATCATCTGCCTTGAAAAATCTAGGATCATCTGTGTGCACTATACCTGCTTCCAGCTCTATTCCCTCTGTCATAGCATCAGCTGTTTCATGGAATTTGGTAATCCGAGCTGATAGTTTCTGTCATTTCTCTTGAAGAGCAACCTTCTGAGCAGCAGTGGCATTAGATGGGAGTTGACGAATATCTGATCTTAACCCATCCCTACCATGAATGTGGTCATGCTGTCAAACTTAAATAAAATATGACATACTGGGCATCCTCAAGGTTGATACCTTGAATGATCCAAGAGACTGTTCCTAACCTTCCTGTTTCAGCATTCTCTGCTTCAGTTAATCTTAGTTGAATTTCAGCCATTGTAGGGGCTCCAAAATTCCAATGACAAACTGTGGTTAGCCTTGATTTGCCTTGGAAAAATAGTAGGGATTGATTACCTTGATCAATCTTGAGCTGATAAATGACAAGATATTCACCTCACTCCTCCATTGCCTTCTTCTCATCATTTTCCCATTCAGCAATTTTTTGTTTATCTAATGCACTTGTCAGCTCATCAAAAGGAAGCTTTGTATCCCTTATCCCCTTGATGGCTTGTTGGTGCTTCTTCAAGAGTGTCTTGACTGTGCTATCATGATTAATTACTTCTGTAATGAGAAAATGAACACATACCAAGTCCAACTAGTTTCTTCCAATTTGAGTCCCACATGTGATCATCCAAAATTTCCTACTGATGACATTTACTCATGGATCGAGCAGTGGGTGATATCTTGTTGAAAGATGCCCAGAGAGTCTCTAGTATTTCACCATCTACTTGGCCAGCCCCTTGAATGAAGTTGAGACTAAATCTTGCAAAACATGGAAGTTTGTGTGCACTCAGATGAAATTTACCAACTGCTGTCAAAACTTGACTCTGTTCAGGTAGAGACAACCCTGGGCAGTTGGCTACACATTCAGCAAAATGAATGCACCACTGACACCCTACATCATAGATGATAAGGGTGGTATCAATGCCATGAGAATGCCCATTGATAGCATTGCATATTGAATAGTCAACATTCATGTGGCTAGAAACATGCATGAGCTTATTGAAAGACTTCAATCTCATAATAAAAATTTACTGTTCACCCTTCTGAAAGTCCACCACTGCATGAGGAACAAAACACCCATGTCGTGCACAAGCAGTGGCACCTACACCAGTTGCTCGAAGATTGCTTCTATTGGTGTTGGCTGCATTGACTGCACAATGATTACTGCAAGAGGATTTCTGTGATAAATATCTAGTTAGAACACACAGAGGTGGAAATACCAGAAAAAAACATACATCCTTACTTTCCACAGCCAATGACAAATGAGCCTGGTACTCAGCCTCTGTCACCATATACCCTAGACCATCAGAAAGGGAGACATCAAGGTGAGGTTGTCTCATATTCATATGTTGAGCAGTGAAGTTGCCATCCACAACATATCTTCGCATGATCAACCAGCTGATAAATAAGGAGTTAGCACAATTTTCCAAACAAAGTCACAGCAGATAGATAGCCAGTGGCCCCATATGTGTAGTCTACATAAACCAGCCAGCTGGTTGATATATAATACCACAGCTGGCCACTGCCCCTGTAGGGCCTGTAGGAATAAGATGGCCAGTCTGTCAATTTGCTGAAGCATGGCTGGCCAGCATGTATATGCTAGATGTAGGAGGGGTGCTGGCCAGTATGAGGGCACATATAATAACTAGCCAGCTGGTGCAAGTAATCATACAATAGATAAACACTTGCCTTTCATACTTGTCCTGCCAATGAAATGGCATATTTATTCCAGGCTGTGGACAGACAGCACAAAATAGAGCTAAGTTGCCAGGTCCAGGCTTTACTAATGAATCATGTCCAAATCCAAATCGTTTTCAATTCATCAAATCCCTCCATTGATGAGACACCCTCATCAGTTCACAATATTGATCCTGACAAAATATGACTTATCAACAATAATCCATGATAAGTAAGACTTACTGGCACAGAATCTGGGAAAGCATTATTGGTCAGGTGACGAAGCTTTTGGAAGAAACTTGATGCAGATGTCTTGCACTCAAGGGCATCAATGAGAAAGTTGTCAAGAACATTGAATGTGAAGGCAGTTCAAGGGCGGGATATACTGGCTGGAAATAATCCTGCTTTGAGCAACTGCAAGTATTGTTTTGATGATCCAGGACAATGACACCAGAGTATGTTGTGAGTGAATACTCCAGTGGAATGAATGATGGTTAGGGAAGTGGTTGTTGGAAGTGAATCGGTGGTGGTGTGTACTCCAGTTTCCTCACCATGCTTGTTCATAGTTTCATCTATATCCTCCCATTCCAAGGAGCCTTGAGAGCATGGACATGGCTGTCCTCTGTGACCCAGGTGCCATATATAACCAAGCTGGGTGAGGGATGTGTCACAGAAGCACTTTCTGTTCCACTGTTGTATCTTATGAAAGGGTAATGACTGGTGGGCTGTAAGAATGCATGCATGGCACCATGAATGGTCACCAGAGCAAGTCAAGCACCAGAGCAATCCTTCTTCACCCTGACAAGATTTGCAGAGCCCTCCATTGGCCAAATTTTCTGACTCCAAGATAATATCCAGGAATAAGTCACGATAAATGAGATATTCATGAATGAAGTCATTTTGAGTCTTGAATTAAATGTTTGACTTAGTCATGAAGATGTTTGGATTTAACCAGATGTACCTGCCTTAGTTTGTCGTCTTGGATTATCTGTATATAACATAAAATCTCCATGAACCTCTCCATCATGTTCTTGAATGTTGTCTAGTCCTTGATGATGGTGCTTAATTTTTTTCTGTGGGCTAGAGGCAGGTGAAGGCTGCTCTGACGACTCATAACAAGGATCAGCACATGATTCCACCCATGTTGGTTTTCTCCTTTTCTTCATAATTTTTTTGTGAGAAACATACTGAACATCCAAGTCCTTCCCTTTGGATAATTGTCCTCTGTCTTGAAAAGAGAAAGTATTGGACTTTAGACGAGCTTTTTTCTTGCCAGACATGATGGTGTAATGTGCACTGCAGCCAGAGAATGCGAAATTTGGTTAACTATCGCTAGTATCATTAAAAAAATTTCAAGAGTCCCAATTTGCTCCACTGAGATAACCATCAGATCTCCCTAGATCTCCCTTCTCACACACTTCCTAGGTCTATGATCTGTAACACTACTTCCCAATAATTGTAACAAGTCCATCTGAACTGGAAATGCTGGCTTGGACACCCCTACATGATCATGAACCTTGTCCTTCATAAAATGTGCAACAACAAATCTTTCTCCAATTTTCCAGGGACCCACTGAGTGCTCCAAAACCTTCCCACCAATATAAGCAATGGTTCAGGGAAGAAATGATAAGGTTCATACCTTGCCTGCAATGAATACCAATGTTCCAGGGAAGTAATCAAGTTCCACATTGAGATCTTTAATGGAAAAAGTTGCATCATGCCCAATGCCCAAACTGGCTAGAAGGTCATAATGGGATTGTGCCCCACCAGCATCATGATGACTCAATGTAATCCAATTAGCAATAAGCTCCATTCCAGTAAAAATTGAAGGCCATTCAGACACTGGCACTGGTTTTTTAGGCTGCCTAGTGACATTCAATACCTTTGAGACTGTGGCTGAGCCTGCCTCAAATAGCTCAGGAGCAATGATAGCTGTTATGGCATTGAAGAAAAATTCAGTGCCTGAGATAGCCTTTAGCCAATGTTGAACTGATTTAATGGAATAGGAAGCTGATGGCACTAAAGGATCTTGAAGCCTCTAAATCACTGATCATGTGAGAAATTTGATGTCAATGAAACCCTCAAAAATAAAATTAAGTTACCTCTCATCTTTGCATAAAATAAGCAGGGGACATAGTGACCCGTCCTGCTCCAAATTTTCCTCTGCCCTCAGGCACCAGAAAGTTGTCTGAATGCCAGGAGTGTTTCTTGTCAATGGCTGATTCAGTGACTGGAATGGATTTCAGCAAATAATCATGAAGTTCTGTGGTAGCAGTGTTCATCAAATCCTTCATTAATTAGCTGTCACTATGGAAAATTTTAAACTTAATAAGGAGAAACTTACCACATGACTACAGGACAAGATATTGGGGAGGTACCAAACCAAAATCTTGCCATGATTATCGACAATTGTAGCTGGTTCAGAAATTCTCCCTAGTACTGCCATCGGAAAATATTTGCCAAGTTTTTTCTGTTCTGTTGATGGGGCCCCATCTGGCTGGCCATAGGAGGATTTCACCATGTCAGCATACCGACCGACATCCCATGTGACATAGTCTATCTCACAAATGTCAACTTATTAAATTAGCATTGATTCTACAATGGCTTACATGGATTAGTAATTGCATGGGAAATAGTCAAGGAAGCATGACGTATTTCATATTGTGTCACTAGAGCGGAGCTGTGACCTGCAGGCTCTGATTGGGACACACAAGCATTTAGTTGCAACCGGATCCTCACTCTTTATCAATGTCAATTAGCTACTTGGATCATAATTGACTGATAATCACACATACCATGCCTTTTGCAGTAGATGAGACTGGAGGGCACTATCTTTGTAGACAGGCACTGTAGAGGCTTCCTTCATAATTTTTGTTATCTCAGCACTCAGCAAGGCTTGAAGGTTCCTTGACTCTGGCTCTAATGAGGCCATGACACAAGTCAGTCACTAAGACTACAGTGGAGGATTGGTTCAACCTGGTTTCTTGGCAAAAAATTTAAAATTAAAATATGGTTTGAATTAGGTTTGATGAATTTGATCAAACCATGTGAATTTAATTTAGCCTCATATGGGTCACCCCCATTAAGCTATTATTAGTATTCAGTTAGCGATGCTCATTGTTTTCTGAAGGAAACATCCAAACAACACCTGTGCATTTTTTACCAAAGATCCAGAGTCCTAGTTACTGTGAAAAGTACAAGCTCTATGATGTAGCAGTGCTTAAGTGTGATATACTGAGATTATTGATGAGCAGGAATCTGATAGTGATTGCAGAACCATTTAGATCTTTGTAGTCTAGCCCACTTCAAAGTGCAAAAGCCAAGTAGTGAATCTTGTAGAATAAGGCATGACCCAACAGGCTTGCTTCCATAACCACTGTCAACACATCAATGTTCACCAGAACCTTTCCAATGGTAGGTCACACACTCCTATTGTACGTTGGTCAGGTGGGCATCGCTACAGGGATCCCAAGCTTACTGGAAGTATCCACACCACAGTTCTAAACCTTCACCTATGGTTGGACTTCACGCCCTACCATTAGGAAGGTTCTGGTGAACATTGATGTGTCGACAGTGGTTATGGAAGCACACCTGAGCAAGCTTGAGATCCCTATGGCAATGCCCATCTGACCAACATACAATAGGAGTGTGCAACCTACCATTGGAAAGGTTCTGGTAAACATTGATGTGTCGACAGTGGTTATGGAAGCAAGCCTGAGCAAGCTGGGGATTCCTGTGGTGACACCCATCTGACCAACATACAATAGGAGTGTGCAACCTACCATTGGGAAGGTTCTGGTGAACATTGATGTGCCACAGTTCTAGACCTTCACCTATGGTAGGGCACACACTCCTATTGTATGTTGGTCAGATGGGTGTCGCCACAGGGATCCCCAGTTACTGGAAGTATCCATACCACAGTTCTAAACCTTCACCTATGGTTGGACTTCACACCCCACCATTGGGAAGGTTCTGGTAAACATTGATGTAACTCTTGCTGGTCTAGTTACATCAATGTTTACCAGAGCCTTCCCAATGGTAGGGCGTACACTCTGCTTGTATGTTGGTCAGATGGGTGTCGCCACAGGGATCCCAAGCTTACTGGAAGTATCTACACCATAGTTCTAAACCTCCACCTATGGTTGGACTTCATGTTGCCGGTCTAGTTGTGTTGGTGCATGAGAATATTTCCACGATCACGTGACTTTTCATAGTGGCAAAAAAACAAGTATATGAGGTGCCCAATGTTATAGCAAGACATGCAGTACATAAGTATTCATTACTACAGTGTTCATAATACAACAAAAAATAAAGAGAAGTGCACGACTTTGATGAGGGGGCCCTCCTCACCAAAGCTGTACACTCCAAGAAAGTCTACATAAAGATTATGACCCTGCTGAACAATTAGATATAATTAAAATCAAAGTAAAGCACTTAGCTTTCAAAGTTATATCATGACAATGTCCTGTAAGACTCATCAGCAAGAAAATGTCTGTGGAGTCAGACATGACTTACAGTTGAATAAGAAACAATTGCCTAACATTAAAGTAAGGTGCTTAGCGCTGAAAATTATATCATGACAAAGTCCTGTAAGACTCATTAGTGAGAAAATTAGTTCGAGTCAGATGTGACTTACAGAGTTGAATAAGAAAAATCATCTGCAAGGTAGGAGCTGCTAACAAGAACATGCACTGGGAATGAGCAGGAGCCACTCACAAGTGGCATGCACTGCATGAAAGTCCCCCAGAATCAATAGTGGGAGCCACTTACAAGTGGCATGCACCACATTAAAGTCCCCCAGATTACCCACTGCAAACAAATACACTAGAGAAAGACATAGCATTAGCGCGTGGTGAACAGAATGAAAGACTTACCATAGACTTCCAGGCGCTAGATACAAAGACAACTGTAGATATTTATATATATATTAGCGCGTGGTGAACAGAACAAAAGACTTACCTGAAAGAAACCCCAGATGCTAAGTCACAATGCCAGACAGACGCAGGGTACAACACTAATATAAGACACTAGAGAGAGAAAATGTTAGCACGTGGTGAAATGAATGAAAAAACTTACTAGAGAGACACCCAGATGCCAATACACATACTTGAGACAAAGACACCAGAAAACTAGAGAGAGAAGTCAGCGCGTAGTGAACTGAATGAAGGACTTACCTGACACTGAGTTCTGTAGAGACGAATATAAGACACTAGAGAGAGAAAATGTTAGCGTGTGGTGAACCGAATGAAAAAAACTTACTAGAGACACCCAGACACCAATACACATACTTGAGACAAAGACACCAGAAAACTAGAGAGAGAAGTCAGCGCATGGTGAACAGAATGAAGGACTTACCTAACACTAAGTTCTGTAGAGACAAACATTAGCAAACAGTATACAATGAAGAAAAAACTTACCAAGCGTGAAAGTTAGCATTATGGTAGATCCTTTGGATCCTTGCAGGCTGCAGCCCTGCAAGGACCCAAAGGGTACCATAGATTAGTGAGAAAGAAAAGGAGTGTAGTGTGTGGTGGAACAGCAAAGTCAACCGCTTGTTTGGACTGACGTGTTTATTTACATGTTGTTTGTACATATTTGTTTCACACATTTGTGGCAACACAAGTCCAGCATGTCTCTTGCTTGCACTCTACATACTTACATACTTATACCATTGTTCTCAGCGTGATACCAGTCTAAATACTCAGCTTTCATATACACTCGGCAGCTGCCCTCATCCCAGCATCCGCGACTGCACTATGCCCTGCACCAAACAAACTTGTAAGAAGTCGACTGGTGGCATGGCGCCATGCGTCACCCTCAACCTACCTGGCGCTACTTCGAGGTTAGCAGTGGGGACTAGGGAGACTTATGAGGAGGAGAGATTGGTACACAATAATGTGCGTCATAATGCCCTTTTTCCTCTAATATTTGAACTAACTACATCTATACACATCTACCCTACAGTTCTGTCTTGTTTGTCATGACAGATCTGTCAACAACGAGTGCTTGTTCATGTGCGACTCATGTCCGCGCACCATGTGCTCCTATTGCTTGCAGATCCCGCCAAGTCACAAAGATGCTATCTCTGGAGACAGCATCAAATTTGTTTGCATATCCTGCCATATTGGAACTGAAGACCATGGCTGCTGCCCCCAAAAGTCTTACTTTGTGAGTTCCTAACTTTTGTTATTGTTTTTTGTTGTATATTGATTCAATCATATATATATTATCACTACAGGGATTTTACTGTGACGGGAAGCCCATTTTCAACACTTTCCTCCAGATCTGTGGGACGCTCGAATTTTCTCACCAAGCACAGGTTTCAGCTGAAACTGTGATCTTTGTCCACCTTAATCTCATTGACAACAACACGACAGGCAGCCCATTCAAACTTGCACACGATTTTCTTGTGGTTGCCTTGTGATGGCAGTTGGAAATGCATTATCTTTGGGATCTCCAACCACACTGACAATACCTTCAGCGATCCCTTTGTAGGGTACAAGGGCACAAAGAAAATATATGTTGCTACTCCCATCAATGCTGTAAGTCCGTGTGTTTGGTTTTGTGTGTGTACTGACAGTCCGAAACAAAGTTTCTGGATATTGTGCTTGGTCCTTTCAAGGATCTCATTGAGCGCGCCACCAAGTCATACTTATGGCTATTCTGTTGCAGCGCTATCGTCAATAACTCCGAAAGCTTTGCGAACTTGAAGACCTCAGTACTGAAGTAAGTTATTTGTTGATCCATCCTGTGTCTGACTGAATCTGTATATACTAGTCATCGACTTTCTGCTACTGTAGCCTTCAATGCAGTACATTTCCAGCCCAGTTTTACTGCCCATCTTCTTCTTGCATTCATTGAGCATGTCATCATTGAATGATTTCCTATTAGTCACACATTTCCTCGTATGCTGGGCCACTCCTACAATTTGGGTTGGCACTCCAACATCTTCTTGTTCACGAAGAATTCCGACTCATTGGATGTTTGTAAGTTTGCATGGACTCATGCTCTATTTCGCCCTTGGGGGCAGTACCTTCCTGTTCAATGCCCAAAATGTGGGTTGACTCATGGACTTCGGTGAACCAGAACAAGGTGTATTACTTTGAATGCAAGAATCGCATGTGCAAGCAGTCCTTCAAGTTCTGCCAACCAGAGAACTTCACCAGAGTTATTACCTATGGTAAATCACCTCAATCATCTTGGATCCAACTTACCATGTAGTGATATGATTTCTTTACTATGACATTGAATATCAGTCACCTCTTTATTGGTAGAATTGTAGTTGAATTTGTTATGACTTTGAATATTAGTCACCTCTCTGATCATATAGTTTGAATGCGGTCAGGTGATTACAATCACATGAATCAATCACAATCACATGACCTTGTTGATCACAATCATATGCCTGATTATTGAGATTTTCGTCCAGCCACACTGTGACTATCAGTACTGTTTGACCACAGCATTACATTTTTCAACAATATCTTCTTGCTCATCTAGCTATGTCTTCAGACTGGACTTGTAGCTTCAGAACTATCCTCGTCAGTTATAAATCTGACTTCTTGGCTGTAAAAGATTCAAAGTCAGGACAGTCTCGTGTGATCAAGAAAGTTCATAAGGCCATAGTTGCAGCTCACAAGGAACAAGGTGAAAAAGTACCTTTGCCAAGTTCTTTCAAGAAGGTACTATTTTCACTGCTAGGATATTTGACCGGTCTAATACTATGCTACTTACAGGCACTTAAAAAATACTATGCGGACCAAATTGATGATGGAGAATCTGATGGGGAAGGAGCTGCAAAGGAAAGGGAGATCAGTGCCTGTCCAAAGGAGGCTTCATTCTACAAGAAAAAGCTGACAGACTGGGATATGACCCAGAAATTGTTTAAACATGAAATCAATGAATTTGACAAGGCAGAGCAAGCCAGGAAAGGTGTGAATGATCCCATCAAGTTTCGCACTGGTCATGCACGAGAATGGTTCAACAAAATGTCACCCACACAGAAGAAAGAAGTCGAGTATGCACGAGAGAAGTGGAACAAGGAGGGGGCACCTGAAGAAAGCCAGGCCATGTGAGCTCTGTGAAATTTTTGTAGGGTTTCATGTCTCACATCAGCTTGCAGTTACTGCAAGAATAACCTCAAGAAAGTGCTTGAAGAGTTTTCTGAGCAACTTCATTGTACTATGGGTTGCCATGTTGTGATGCTCATTAGTCACAAAAAATGAGCAGACCAGACATTAAGCGTCGCCTTGTGAGTATTCAGGATGACTATAAATCTTCAAACCAACAAACTGTACACCTCTAGACATGAATTTCTTCCTCAGAATGCCAAAAAAAGTTTCTTGGTCAGCTCAGACAGCATCAAAGAGTGGGCTTCAACTGGCTTTGAGTTTTTTGCAGAGTGGGCAAAGACCAAGTATTGTATGTTTATTAAATCTTGATTTTACACACACTAGTTGACTATCATTAATAGACCCAACAGCTAATTTAGACTACAAGGAAGAGGATGAACATGAGCTACCTAAAGTTGTGTTAGACAATGAAGGCTATGCGCTACTTCCTTCTCGTCAGGAAGTCACACTCAAAAATCAACAAGAACTCATAAGAATGATTTTTCATACTGCATACAGTAAGTGTCTATGTCTTGGATAGCTATATGCACGGTCAATCAGTGTATATTTATAGAAGTTTTCACTGGCAGCAGTAAGCCTGTGCCATGGCGCACCATCACTCCTTGCCCATCTGAATATTTGGAGGCTGGTTCAATTCCAGCTAACTTGGTCTTCTGTGACCCCTCTCACATGAGAGCAAAGGATATTGATATCCTCTGGAGTTATTGGGAGAGGCGGAGTACCACACAGAAGAGACTTGTCACTTTTATCAAGGCAAGGTCATGTGACATGAGGATTGATCTGCCACACAGTCCAAGGGATGGAGCTAGTACCAAGAAGGATAAAGCTTATGCTGAGGTTACCTCAGAAGATGATGAACAACATAGTTCAGCTAATTTGGATACTACATTGGCTGCAGCATCACCAGTGGAGGTGCTATGTAGTGACTGTTTTGCATTTTTGGATGCCCTCAGCACTGATAGGTCTTACCTTGAGCTGGTAGACGCAGTCAAGGATCTGGCTATTATGATGGAAAATCTTGTAAGTGTTCAGGTAATCTTAGATATGAGTTGATCCTAACATTATTCACTAGCAATTGCTACAGGAGGAGCTGGAGTTACCTAACTGGGTTAATTGGTCTTGGAAAGACTCTTATCTTCTGGAGTCTGTGCACGAGTCACAGGACATGGTGATGGCTAGCTTGGAGCTGATGAGAAAAGCCCCAATTCAGTCTGTGTACTCAGCTGCCCTAGTGGTCTTAGGCCTTGGAATGATTTTGAGGGACTGTAAGCGTGTCATAGAGTATGAAGAAGATGAGGCCCCCCCTGGTACCCCCTCCTACTTGGCCAGTTCAAACTTGGACCTTCAATGTATCATTAAGGTGGATGATGCAATCAGTCATATGGTATGTAAGGTGGTAGGTCTTATTGAGGTGGCAATGAAGGCCGCTTCAGGTCACTCCGATAATGGTGATCAGGAGGAGGAGATGGAGGGAGCTGATGGTGAGGAGGATAAGACAAACGAGAGAGAGAAGAGTATAGAGCAGGACCAGGAAGGTGAGCAAGAGTTGGTGAGGGGAGATATGGATGTGCAGATGGAGGAGGTGGGGAATGCCTATGACGAGGAACAGGAGGAGGGCATGGAGAAAGGAAAGAAAAGGATGAAATCTCAGACTTCAGCTAGGAAGAGCAAGAAGGCAAGGTCAGAAGATGAACCTATTCAATGATCTACCAGAACTAGGCAACCATCTATGAAGAATAAGAGGTCTTAATGTGTTACCATAGATATCTTATCCTGTAGTCAAATGTTTGTTGATTGTCTTCATAGTTGATTAAAAACAATATGCTAGTCATCCAACTTCAGTCATGCCAACTGGCCACCTTCACTACTACTTGTCATTAAGTCAAATATTGTGGCCAGCCTAACTATATGACATGTAGCAGTGAGGCTGGCCGGTTTATACATAAATAGTGCTATCATGGCCAGCCTCACTATATGATATGTAGTAGTGAGGCTGGCCAGTCTATGAATAAATAGTGCTAGCATGACTAGCCTGACTATATGACTCATAATATTAAAGCTAGCCAGAGTATACTTACATATTACTAACATGGCCAGCCTTACTATATGACATGTAGTATTGAGGCTGGCCAGTTTATACTAAAATATTACTAGCATGGCCAGCCTCACTATATGACATGTAGCAGTGAGGCTGGCCGGGTGTACTAAAATATTGCTAACATGGCCAGCCTTACTATATGATATGTAATATTGAGGCTGGCCAGTTTATACTCAAAGCCAGCCTCTAAACTACATGGTATAGAGTCAGACCAGCCATGCTGGCAATATTCAAGTATAAACTGGCCAGCCTCAATACTACAGGTCATACAGTAAGGCTGGCCATGCTAGCAATATTAGAGTATAAACTAGCTAGCTGTCATATATATTCAGGCTGGCCATGCTAGCAATATTTATGTATCACCTGGCCAGCCTCACTGCTACATGTCATATAGTCAAGATGGCCATGATAGCAATATTTGAGTATAAAATGGCCAGCCTCAATACTACATGTCATATAGTGAGGCTGGCCATGCTAGCAATATTTGAGTATATACTAGCTAGCTGTCATATATAGTGAGGCTGGCTAAGCTAGCAATATTTTAGTATAACCTGGCCAGCCTCACTACTACATGTCACATAATCAAGTGGGGCATGATAGCAATATTTTAGTATCGACTGGCAAACCTCACTGTTACATATAAACTAGCTAGCTGTCATATATAGTGAGGCTGGCTATGCTAGCAATATTTCAATTTAACCTGGCCAGCCTCACTACTACATGTCATATAGTGAGGCTGGCCATGCTAATAATATTTCAGTATAAACTGGCCAGCACTGATCCTACATATAATGATTGGTCAATAGGCTCATACTGGAATGCATTATCAAAATCTGGCCAGCCCATGATCTATGTATATCACCCTGGTTGTAATATGCTAGCTAACACTATTTCTAGAGAGACTGGCCAGCACTGATCCTACATTAACTGGCCAGTGACTGACTGGCCTGGATTCTACAGCCTTTTGGCATGTCCGGAGCCAGGGTTCTACATTGAATATGACTGAAGGGTCTGACCCAAAATAGAGGACACAACAACACTGGCATGTGTGACCACTGCTTATATTGTAGTGTCCATTCCTTTCTATCATTGCCAGCCTCTGGTAAAATCAACTCTCATCTGAACTTGCCGAACTGAAAATCTTCAAAATGACCAATATCAGAGCCCTACAGCAAACAAGGAGAGCACTGCACCTTCAAACACACCAAGAAATACTTCTCCAGTACTTCTGTTTCGATCATGGAAACATAGGCATGGCTTCTACACCAATGAAGACAAACACCGGGACAAAATCAATTCTGAAACTGGCAGCGAATTTGAAGGGGGGATACACATCCATATCCTACTGTCCAGATGACAGGCAAATGATCAGCTGATCTTATGACAGGACCACTCAGAAATGGGACATGTAAGGAGATTAAGGAGGCACAACATGTTTATGAGAAGGTATGTGCGGTGGTGGTACCAAGGGTCGACAGGTTGTCACTGGTGGTGGGGATTATGATTGTGCAGAGTTGAAAGGCTGGGAGATTGAGACCAGGATTGTTAAAAAATTTCAAGGCAACTGAAAAGAGATCAGCTGCATTGATATCTCTGCAGACAGAAAACTGCTAGCAAACAGGACAGGAAATGTGGCATGGATATGGAACCTGGGTACTGGGAAACACATGGCTGGATTATTTGAGACCGTTGATTGTGTGAGCACAGCTTGTTTCTGATCAGACTCGAAGAAAGTCGCAATGAACTTGTGGACAGGGGGCTGGCTTGAAAGTTGAGGTCTGGGATGTTGAACCAGAGAAATCAGATGTGAGTAGGGGAATCCCTTGCAAAATCAGATGAATCACAAATGTCCCTCCAATTTGCCCATACCAGCCATGTTTGATAAGCCGGTCATCGGTACTGGCCCCATCTCCAGAGCTTCTGTGTGCAAAAGTAGCCTCGAACATCACAAACTCGACCATCCATGGCATGAAAACCATATACATCAATAAATTAGCACATTCCTTGGCACCACTTTGTGCAAAAGGTTAAATCTTATTTACATCTTATTTACAATTATTTACTTGGCGCATTTGTTGACAAGTTGAAAAGAAGCATGATGCAAACAAAGCACTGATAAGCACTGCAAGCATACAGAAGTGACTTCGTATATTTCAAGCACAAAAAGTATAGTAAGTCTACATCTACTTATGTACCTGTTATTGCTGATTGACGATCTGGACAGTTGATGGCTTCAAAAATGTTGTTCGAGGCCGAGGCAGCAAACGCCAATGGGACAATGTTGAGATAAGGGCCAATTTGATGATTTGTGCTGAGGCGGTTGCAGAGGGAGTGGAGGCGAATGAAGAAGGGATAGAAGCGTTGTTGGGGCTCTGGGAGAGGGTGAGGAGGTTCTGGACCAAGAAGGATCGTGTCTGAGTCTGTGTTGCTCAAGTGTAAGGTGACTGTATACCAAAGTGAGTACCAAAATATCTTGTGGTATTGGAACACTTACTGATCATGCTATGGATAGTATCATCTTGCTTGTTCAGACCTGTAAACACAAGCCATTAGCATTGTAGCACATGTACTATATAGAAGAATGCACCCCGCCTGTATTGTGCACATCACTGAAAGTTTCGACTGATGCCCTGGGACCTGACCATTAGCAATGGACTGAGGATTGGATTGAATGACCATTTCGTTGTTGATATCGAGCTTGTAACACGCATGAATGTGCTGGGAGAGGATGGAGAAGATGGTAGGTTGTCTGTGTCGTCAGGCAGAGAGGAGCAGGACTGCCTGCTGGGAGATGATGGTGGAATACGAGGTGGTGTGTTTTCATGCTCTAGCTTGGGAAGACCTGAAAGGGAGAGATGAGGGGATCTGAGCTCTGGAGGATGGTTGATGAGCACACATGATGACTGTGTCTGCAGTCCGCAAGTTGAGCCCCAAACCACCAGCTTGTGTCAACAGGATGGAGACTGAATCCTTTGCATTGAACTGCTGTATGTGTAAGGCATGCTCTTCCATCTTCGTACCACCATCAAAACAGAGGTACTTCCAGCCCATCATCTTCAAGAAATCTTCCATGATGTCCATGACCTTTGTCATTTGGAAGAAAATGGGGACCTGATAGACACAATGATCAGTACAACTCAGGCAATTATAGGTGCAATGCACCCTGTGACCCACTGCAAAGAACTTCGAAAGGATGTGCAACAAGAGCTCAAGTTTCTCTTCTTTGTTCACATTTGGGAAGGTTGTTCTGAAGGGGGGTGCTGGTGAGAATGAGGTGGAAGTGAGAATGGTAGGTACTGCGCACTCCACATGATGGCTCTTCGTGACATATCTGGAAGGTTGTTCTGAAGGATGGCGATGAAGTACCAGTTGTTAAGCATGCCTTCAAAAATGTTGAGCTTCCAATCCAGCCTTCGCAAGTTTACTGAGTTGGATATCTGAGCAAAGACAAAGGCATTAAAGACCAGCGTCTGCACAATGGTGGCATTCCCTGATGTGTCTGCGAAGCACAGGGGGTGCCGGTTAGGATAAGGTGGTAGCAGGAATGGTAGTACTGCACGCCCCACATGATGGCTCTTTGTGTACATAGCCTCAAGGTGAGGCTTGTCAAGAGGGGAGACACATCAAGGAGTAAGATATTCTATTGGGATCTGACCATTAAAAACAGACCAAAATATGAATTGAAGACTTACCTATGCCATACATGGCGGTCAGGAGGCTATTTCAAAGGCATGGTGATCGGTGAACTTATTGACATAAAATGAGTGGAAAGAATCAATAGAATGGTAAAACATGAGGCCATGAGGGATGTAGTCAGAACTGTATATAGTAGCAGGTGTGCTGCATGGAACACTGTCTTGATATGAATCACAGCAGGGTGCTGAGAACCATCCTCATGGAAACTGGGATGGACCATTCACATGCCAGTGTCTTCATCAGCACAATCATTAATCTTCTCAAACCATTGAATGAGAGTGCATGGATATACTTCCCAGTTGTGATTGAAAGAAAAGAAGCATATGATTCTCGCAACTTCAAGTCCTCGCATGCCTTGAGTGTCCGAATCAGTGTTGATGAACACACAGTTGTTGCATGGGTGCTCATTTCTCCAGAGTGGACATGCATGGATATGTTCCCATCACATGCCACCAGTACCACTCAGATCACTGGGAGCAAAGAAAGTTGCAGCAGCAGAATTGAAGACCTGGAGCTTGCCTTCATGCCGAGGCAAGCTACCAGTTTGGACATCTGCGGGATCGCGGGGATCATCTTGGCTGAGTTGAGTGAACAAGAAGTGTTGAATGAGGTGTCACAGGTCTGGAACAGCAACTCCACATGCTAATGCTGCTACTGTTTGTGCCCGTTTTTGTTCTGTATGATACAATAGTTAGCATCGAGGGTAGACACTGCTTGGTATCACTTATGAGGAGTTTTGGCAAGCTGTACATAAGCAAGGACTGTTGGACCATCCACTATCTCACCATCATCAATATCAATGACTGGTTGCAGTTCAATGTCATGGGCATCTGGCTGTGGTGGAATAGGAGGGACAGCTTGTTCATCTTCATCTAGTGCTATATGTTGCTGTTTGAGTATGCAAGAAGATGATCAGAGAAAGAAATGTTGAACAGACTTACCAAGAGTGGCTAAAGCACTTGACAAAATAGTACCAGTGAGCATCCCTAATGCATCAAAGTCTACATGGGATGCTGCAAGCTTGTCAAGGTGTTGATTGGTTACAAGCATCTGACCAAGGGCATTGTGCCTGCTTGACCAATGCCAGGGCTCCTTTACAGCCTTGATGTGTTTTTATTCCGTAATTGAGGAGCATAGTCTGTTCGGGGCACCAAAGAGTTGAATCATGTCCGCATAATGAATCATTGAGTGCTGGCGAGGGAGTGAGAAGGTAGGAACGACAAGATCAAATATCTTGCAATAGTGATGGAAACGGTGAAGTGTGTCTTGAATCTGATTTAAGGTATCTTTGGTGACAACATCGTGCCATGCAAGATAACAAAATTCTAACAATGCGCAAAATGCATGAACCATATCTCCAGGTATGTGGCCTTTGATAGCTGGAAGAAAGACCTTCATGAGCACTTTCAAATCATCACCTGTCCACTGTTTGAAGTTGCGGCCTTGAGGAAATCATTGTAGACCAGCAAATGATGGTACAGCAGCGACTCTAACTTAAATTAGACAATAGTATTAAGATAATGAATAAAGTAACATACCTGCAATCTATGTCACTCATAATCTCCTCTGCCCGCCTGGTCCTGTGTGCAGCCTTGAGGTACTTTGCTACCCAGTCGACGAGATGGTCTTTGAATGCACCTTTAATGAGCTGATGGAGGAGGTCAAATGACAGTAACTCGTGGATATCTGCTTGGGGGAAGTTGTTTGTAAAGGGCTGCACAATAGATATTAGCTTGGTATTGCAAAGCGACCAATTCCACTCACAATGAGATCGCCAATGATACTGAATTCATCCCATAATACATCCCCGTGTAGCTCATCAATTAGGAAATCAGTATGCCCATGACAGTGATACATGCCACTGCCATTGAGGTTCGTTCGAACTGCAATACATCTATGTGTATCATTAGTACAGATGGATACTGATTACAAGCTCCAATACTCACTTTGGGCACCAATGCTTAACAATACAAGATAGCACTAATTGTTCCTCATAATCCACTATGTAGGGTCCTAGACTGTAGATAATGCACTGAAAATGACCATCTCCACAGTGCACAACTTCGTATTTGGTCATTGCAGATTTCAAGCTGGAGAGAATAGCAGATAGTGAGCTGTGGAATAGCTGGCGATGAAATATCCGAAACATGTTGTCTTTTGAATGCTTCCTGTCAGCTGTAGTATAGTAAGTTAAATGATGCACAATAAAATTTAGAAAAAACACATACTTTTGGGTATGGTGAGGAAACTGATTATGACAAGAGCATTGCGGTGAGCACACCATATGTTGTTGCATACATTGCCAATTGAGGCATAGAGGGGATAGTACTCATTGTTACCGGTGCCCACAGAAACGGTAGTTTTATCACTACTGAGAATGATTGGGACTAATGCAGATCCATGTGCCTCTGGATCTTTTGATATGGTGTCCTTGGTGAAGTGTTAGCTATGCCCCAACTCGGAGCAGTAATAGCTGGAAACATACTGCTTGTTGCCATGCCCAGTCCCCAGACATGAAGTCTTTCCAACGGCGTGTGTCATCTGCTGCATTGTATTCATGAAATGGCATATAGTTGATTTTGTCTTTGAAGGTAGGGTTGGCTAATATGTTGTGCGCCATCACATGGGGGTCCCTATACCACACCTCAAATTCATCATCCATCCATGGTGGGACAATCTCAGGGTGTTCTCCTGTGTATTGAACCGAGAAAGATTGCAAAGGGACATCACCAAGCTGTGTCACATCTATGACATTGTGGAGATCTTTATGATCGGCAAATGGAGGGACATCATGGTGTTTCATGAGAGTTGCAGCCATTAAATCGCATAGGAAATCCAGGTTCTTGGCAGACATGTGGCATTTTTTGAATGCAAACTCAGCCATCTCAAATTCTATTCTATTGTGATATGGGCTCCAATCATCAGGAGCCTTTAGTGGCATAGGAGTTGGAGGGGTGCCATGTGGCAGAAATTCTCCATCGGCCATGCATGGTCATCCTAAGCATGAATCTAAGTCAAAATCAAATCAAAAACAGATGTAAAAGAATGCACCATTTACCATTGAATGGTATGTATGATAACACTGCTTGCTCAAATCAGTAAATTCTGTGTCAGCATTGTCTGAATCCTCATGAGTTGGTTCAGAGGGCGCAGGAGGTGATGGCTGGGGATGTTGTGAGAAATCCTGAGGTGGTGGCATGAAATCTGGAGGTGGTGGTGTGAAATCTGGAGGTGGTGGTGTGAAATCTCAAGGGTGGGATGGTGACCGGGATGGTTGAGGATGGTAGTGAGGGGGTAGCGGTGGTGGTAGGAGATCTTGAGGAGGTCCTGGAGTAGGTATATTTGAGTGGAGTGAACGCCTGTGTTGGGTGAGACCTGATTGATTTTGAAACCAGCATGTGCAGCCTGGAGCCGGGCATGGAAGCTGAAGTAGGTGGTGAGCATGGCAGGGAGGCATATGTGCTGTCAGCCAAGTTGGTAGTAGTTGAAGAGAATTTCTGAAGGCAAGCGACCAATTCGGACCAGCACCAATGTGACCAAACCAGGCTTAATGCACCAATGAAGGCTAGATTTTGGGGTTCTTTGAAGAAATGCCTAAATCACACAGGCTCATTGACGAACACTGGAAATTTGAAGGTGTCTGATACAGTGAACTCTGGGTTCACTAGACCAGAATTTGGGAGCAGCAAGTGCAAAAGGATCGCGCAAATCTAGTAGGTACGTCAGGGTCAATGTAGATATTTATTCAGAGTCAGCTTAGACTACAATTTTCGAAGAATCGTGATGAAACATACCTTGTTGTGAGCTACCATCGCCCTCAAATTTCTTTAGCCTCCCAAACCCTCCATTGATACTATCATGCCTGCCAGCGCAGTTCCACAATGCATGATGACTTGACCTAAGAATGCAACTCAGCATCCAGGACATATTCTTACCAGAGGCGACAACTGCATAAAAAGACGTACCAAAGCTCAAAAGGCCACTGACGATCAATGTGAAGAAGAGGAGAAGGAGGCAAGTCAAGCAGCTATACAGGAAACTCATAAGTGCATTGCAGCATTTCAGAAGCAGTTGCAGACAGACCAAGCTGCTGCATGTGCTGATGCACCTAAGCCTAGTCGTCCTCGTCCTCATCTGGTGAAAAAGGCTGCAAAAGCTCCAGAAACCACTGACTTGACTACAGCTGCCAATAAGGCTGTTGGTGCTAAAGGTAAGGGTGGCAGGGCTGATAAATCAGCTGCCAGTGCCAATATTGAGCATCCTGGGAGTGAAGAAGATGAGGAGTTGGAGGTGCAGATGCCAGGAGGATGCACAAAGAAGAAGGGAAAGAGGACAGTGATACCAGTGAAAACACCTGTGAGAGATGCAATTGATGTGGCGGGTGCCCTTATCGCCAGTGAATCAACACAGGCACATGATGATGATAAGTTGTCTGACTTGGATGTGTAAGGCATTTTATTGTTTTAACCATGAAGTTCCATCTGACCAAAACATCTCTTTTTTTTTTTCAATCTCATGGTCTATGATAACAATGCTAGCTCTCCACTGGCTCCTAAAAAATTCGGTCTTGCTGGTCATATTCTGAATTGGATGTCAAGTATTCCCATTGGTGGTTCAAAGCCATTCTCCAACTTGAAGCACAGATCTTCTGGAGCGCTTTCTGCTATCTCTAGTACCACTCCCTCCTCTAAGCTTACTAGGGGGAGCACTATGAGTAGCGGTGGTGCTTTACTCACACCTATCCATACCCCCAATGTTGGGCCCAATGACATGTCAGACCTTTTTACAACCCTTTTTGCAGACAATGAATTAACTGATTCAGCCAAATGCTCTCAAGTGCTTGCTCATATGTCAAAATTAAAGGCTGCTCAGGTGAGTCCAACCATCTGGTTTAATTCCATGTGCTTACTGCATTTCCAGGGTGTCAAAATTTCTCAGAAGGATTCTATACCTCAGATGAACTTAGCCCATCGCAATGCCAATCCAACACCCAAGCAGCTCAACCAGATTGAGCCTGATATCACTGCTGATGATAGTGCCTTCAATATTGTGGACGACAACCTTGAAATGAATGTGAAGACCGCACCTGTAGTAACTTCCCTTGTTGACTATGATTCCAACAGTGATAGGGAATCTGATCTTGAACCTCCTCCTTCTGAGCAGGTTCCCAAAGGATACTAAGATGCTGACCTCTGGCCTCCACATATTGCTCCATCCTACTCATCCCACTCTACTGGTGTCAAGCGCAAACTCATAGATGCTGAGGATGCCTTAACTGAAGATGACTTGATCGAGGACAATCTACTTGAGGACAATCTTTTTGAGGACAACCTCATGATTATGGATGACTTTGTGATTGAGGACAACCTCATGTTAATGGATGTGATCGAGGACGACGACCTCATGATCACGGATCAGCAGGTTGAGGAAGACTCACCCTCCTCTGATATTGAATTTGTGGGTCACGTCAAGTGTGTGGTCAAGCCTGAGCCTGTGGTCAAGACCGAGTACAAACCAGTGTCCTTGCGGTTGACTTCTACAGTAGTGTGCTCTGGTTTCAAATATTTTGATTCTACTGACTACAAAATTTATAGACCAGCATCAGTGTCAAACGCAATGCCCCCACAGCAAAGCGGCTGAAGTCTTCTCACAGTGTGTCCAGCATCCCAAGTACCATAAAACTTGAGGCTGGTCCCACAAATCCCTTAGAGGTGACAGTGGAGATCCTCCCCTGTTCTTTGTATAGGATCAAGCACCTTCCTGGAGGACCTCGGGCAGTGGCTAGGTGGAGTTCCGTTTTCATCCCTACTCTCATTTCCGCTATCGGAGATCAGGATGAAGTCTGGGGCCATATCGAGTTGGAAGCCTTATTCCATGCTACTTTACAGGACACCTGGGATGTGGTCTATGAAGATACCCCCCACACTATCACAAATGATGGACCTGTTATGGCTATAGTGAGTAATTTTTGATGCTATTCATGTCTGACATTTCTTCTTCTTAGGCTCTCCAACAGCTATCAGAGTGGTGCAATGGGATTGGCTCCACGGCTGTCACAGTATTCACCAACTTCATGTTGTTGCAAGATGATGTCAAGACCAATGAAGATTGCAAAGGATTTGCAGAGAGCTTACTCGTCAACCTAGTGTTCCTGTATGGGAACATCACGGAGGATAGGAAATGCGAAAGACCTTTTCAGTCTGATCTCACTATTCAGGTTCTTGTACAGCACACATGCGCCACTTGGGGTGCTATTGACAGCCATCACAAAAGAATGCATGCGAAAGGCGCTCTCAGTCTTTGTACTGCAGCAGCATGTATTTCTCCCCTCTCTTCACAGCACGGCTAATTATTTCCTGTGTTTCAGATGGAATGCACCATACGCCTTATCACTTCCAAGACACTTGTCAGTGAATTAGAGGTGAACAGTGAAGGCAAGGCCGTCAAGGTCCCTCACTCTATGAACAAGTTCTCAGGCAAGATCAGCAGCTCTTGAAAGGCCTTCTTGGACACCAACTTCGGTGAAATGACTAGGTGTTACATGAAATCTATTAATCACCTGCAAGATTCAGTCCTCCAGGATATCTGGGGATGGGTGAAGGAGATTGCCTTGAAGACACATAGTTCAGTCAAGACCCTATGTAGAACCTGTACCCCAGATGTGCCAAATGGTCATAGGATGTGTGCAGCTGGTGGCTGGCCAGCTGTACTAAATCCTTGTAGGCACTGCACTGGCCGGGATGTAGGGTCATTCTGGCTGATGCTCATTCTACATACAGTAATAATAAACCAACTGTGTGATGTAGATGTAGATGGAGACCAGCTCGGCCAGTAGGACCTGTACTGGCCAGTCATAGGACTTTTACCAGCTAGGGGCCTATTACCCTCTACAAGATGATGGCCAGTACAGGTCCTACCAACCACTATGTATGTCTTGGCTACAGGAAAAATAGGCCTGTAAATGTGACTAGCCAGAGCTTACAGGTAGGACCAGTACTGGCCAGTATCTAAATGATAAGGGACATGCCCATGGAATGTGACCAGCCAGACCTGTAGGACCAGTACTGGCCAGTATCTAAGAAATAAGGGACATGCCCATGGAATGTGACCACCACCATGAAGCTGGATTACACCACCATAGCCATCATGACATGAAGCATAAGAAAGCAGGATTTTTCCTCCCGAGAGGCTCGTTCACCATGTCATCATGGCCCTCAGCCTATGGGAGGGTCACACTGTTGCTTTTGTTCTTGGTGAGTGTTAACCTTGTATTTCTACATCCCTCTAATTTCCTTGCAAAGGTTGAGGCATTGGTGTTTTGCTTTGCACGTTCCTGGGTGATGTCTGTTCTCATGTATTGCACTGTCAGAGGTGAGAGACAGGAGGAGGTTGGCCACAGATTCATCATGTTTGAGCATGATGCAGAGAACAACTTTGTGCCTCCCCCTGAATACACCAATGAGAAGGTGAAGGTCCCCAAGACCAGCCAGCCCCATGGGGCCAGTACTGGCCAGTATCTAAATAATAAGGGACATGCCTGTGGAATATGACCAGCCAGCTCTGTGGGACCAGTACTGGCCAGCAGCTATATAATTAGGGACATGCCTGTGGAATGTGACTGGTAGCACCTGAACTGGCCAGCATCTCAACTTAAGAAGGATTGCAATGTAGATAGTAACCAACTAGAGGTGTAGAGCAGGTACTGGCCAGCATCTAAGTAGAGGGTAATAGGCCTGTAGATATTGACCAGCCAGAGCTGTAGTACCTGGACTGGCCAGCCTCTAGGTAGAGGGTACAAAGCCTGTATTTACTGACAGGCCACACCCATAGGACAGGGTCTGGCCAACTTCTAAGTACAGGGTAATAGGCCTGTATTTACTGACCGGCCACACCTGTAGGACTGGGTCTGGCCAGCTTCTAAGTACAGGGTAATAGGCCTGTAGATATTGACCAGCCAGAGCTGTAGTATCTGGACTGGCCAGCTTCTAAGTAGAGGTTAATAGCCCCATAGATCAACAGGTGAGCAAAATGTCATGATATTGATGCAGATTGTTACAAGCAAGGTGATATATTGGTAAGTGGTATGTGAGTAAGGCAAAGACAAGTTAATACTTCAAAGCTTTCTTAGTGGGCTGTCTAGATCTTGAAGATCAACGGACATCACCACTGACCTTCTTGGATGGCTTTTGAGATCTGCCAAACTTTGTTCTTTCTTCCCTTTCATCTCCTCCTCCTCCTTGTTGTCTTTCTCTTTCTCTTTCTCTTTCTCTTTCTCTTTCTCTTTCTCTTTCTCTTTCTCTTTCTCTTTCTCTTTCTCTTTCTCTTTCTCTTTCTCTTTCTCTTTCTCTTTCTCTTTCTCTTTCTCCTCCCTCTCTTTTACCAGACAACTGTTTACCTCCTGCACCTCCTTCAACTGAAGCCTCTTTGCCTCCAGCTCCTGCTTCAATTCCTGGTTCCTGCAATTCTCCTCCTCAAGCTTCCTCAACTCATCCACCAGCTTCTCCTCGGTCACTCCCTGTTCACCATCTGCAGTGGTGTCCATACCATCATCAGCTCCACTACCTTCTCCAACCACAGCATTATCAATGATAGGACTTTCCTGCTGAATGAGCTTTGCCTTCAGCAGACGCATAGCCCCACCTCTGACCTTCTTAACCACCTCTACAACCAGGTCGAGGATCTTGATATCCAAGAAAGATGAGCTAATGTAAGCTGGGGTTTCAAGGGCGACCTCATCTTCCTCATACTCAATGGCTTGTTTACACTCCCTGAGCAGCAACCCAAGACCTAGGGTGACTCACATCGCAGATGGAAAGCCACTGATCTTGACAGACTCAGCTATCTGCAAGAAATTGTGCACATCACCATCAACAGAGTGCATGCCACTTGGAAGGTAAGACCACTCCCAGGACCAAGTTGCCCAGGCAGGCCATTCCTTTTGCTCCTTCAGGCTTGGTTCCTAGGCTTGGTGAGTACAGAGTATAACTTGATCAATTGTCAGCATACCTTGCCCAAGTCTCTGATACCCTCAACTAAAAGCAGGTATTCATTGTTGTTGCTGAGGGACTTCAAGAACTGAATGCGATCCTTGATGGGCACAGCTGCTGGCACACCCAGCTGCTGGGTGGCCAGTCTGGGAGCATGTCCTGTGGAGGCTGCTCTGGCCAGCTCATCTCCAGATGAATGAGGCTTGGCCAATGTCTTCCTATGTGATGTGAGAGCTGCTCCAGCCGACTCATCCTCAGAGGGGTCAGACTTGGCCGGCCTCATCCTATGAGATGTAGGATGTGCACTAGCTGCCCCAGTGGTACTAGAAGTCTTGGCTGGCTCGATTTTGACATACTTCTTCTTAGTTTTCTCCTAGTAGGGAACTGCATTGTCAAGGCGCTTCTTGCTCATATCACCAATTTTAGCAGCCATGAAAATAACCAGAGGCTTCTTTGCAGCCTTCCTACCCTCCCAATGAGTCCATAGCTGATTGACATTTTCAGCCCTCATATGAGATGGGTCTCTCAAGATGAAGCCTTTGGGAAAGGAATCAGGATCAAGGTACAAAGTGGGGTTTCCCACAACCTCACGCCAAGGTACGGGTTTGGAAGTGTTGGTTAAGACCTCTGTATAACTGATGGTGACTTGCACAAATTTGCCAAGCAAACAACTACTCACTGTAAGATGCACGGAATATTTGACAAACCAATTCCTGTTGCCCTCTGGTAGGAACTCCAGCACATGGAGGGAAGCTTCGCATAGCCTGTTATTGTCCAAAATGAGATCAGGTAGGCCACCTGTCTTTGTCTTCATCTTCTTCATCTGAATTGTCATCAGTTTTCCTCCGGATCTGATGGTTCCTTAATTACAGAGAACATTTCAGTGAATAAACACTCACAAAATTCCAACTTTGACCATTCTGCATATTTTTCAAAACTCTCCGACATGTCCACTGCTTATTTCCTCGAGAACTCTGGGTGAAAGGTTTTTTACTATTGACAGGCTTTGACTCATTACTAGATAGTAATCATATTCTGTCATTATACCATAAGAACAAAGAGCTAAAAATACACTCACACAATGATGTTTAAAGTCTGATCTGCAGGTTTCTTGTGACTGGCTAGGATCACAACTCGACATCCCATGGTATGACGCATTTGTTCAGTAAAGTCATCAAGGTATTTTTTGAGGTGCCTCTTTCGATACCTGCCAAGGTAGTCAATAGGAGAACTTGAATAGTCAATTTAAATACTCACATGGCTTGTGATTCAGGAGGAGCGCCTTCCCTATTCCACTTTTCCCATGCATCCTCAACCTCCTTCACTGCTGCAGGGGTCATGTTTCTGAACCATTCCCTAGCATGGCCAGTTCTATACTTGATTTCGTTCTTTACCCCTAACTTCACTTGCTCCTCCTTATCAGTACTGATCGATCTCCTGCTTAAATAGCTTCTGTGCAACATCCCAGTCACTAACTTCCTTCTTGTAGAAGCCTACATCCTTAGGACAGGCTGCTGCTTCCCTCTCCTCAGGGGATAGGCCAAATTTCTCATTATTGGGCTCATCTCCAAAAGTTCCTCTTCTACCAGTATGTCGTCTTCATTGGTTAAGAATTGGCAGTAGTAACATCTGATAGCCTTTGAATTGCTGTAAAATTAGTTATTATATATACGAAAAATAAATCACATCTTTTCAATGCCTTTGGCAACTCAAGCGGTTCATCCTTTGAGTTATTTTGGGTAATGATGTTGTCCCTTACTGTTCTCAGAATATCTCGATGTGATTTCAGTGAGGCAGCCACAAATCCGCTCTGATGAAGGGCAAGTATACCCTCAAAAGACACATGCCATTCAGCCATGATGAATTTAGTAGTTAGAGTAAAGTGAGATAACCTGGTCAAGGGTATGCACAAGGTAGGAAGGAGTCGGCCATTGGTTACCAACTAAATTTTTCAACCACAATCATGTGACTCACAACCAGACTACAGTCAAGGCATGTCAAATTTCAATGGCACTACTAGAGTGATGTTAAAATCAACAATATGTGTGAGGACACAAATAAAATCAATTCATTGCAAAACAAACATGTATTAAACTAACTAGTTGTGAGATAAATCAAATGCACATCTTCTTGGTCAACACTTCTGCACTCATACTTCTAGGGTGCTTGCCTTTGGTGTCAGAAGGCCCACATGAAGCAGGCAAAGACATAAGAGAAGGCGGAAAAGTTGTGGAGGGGGACTGGAACCAACTCGAGGTCTTTGTCATAGCAGCATTGACAACAAAACCAGGGGGTTTCTCAATGTGGAACTTGTACAGAGGTTTGCCCTGCGCCCTACCACACTCAGGATAAGTGCAGGCATATAGGTACCTGGATACAGGAGCCTGGTCAGGATCATCAGGTTTGCAAGACCTACATGCTCCCTAGACTGCGACCCTCACTGACCAACTGTTAGTGGACCCACAGAGAGGGCACTGTCCAGGGACAGGGATACCCCAGGGCTGAGTTTGCATGTGCAAATGTGCAAACTGGGTGATGAGGAGGTTATGCACATCGTGAGCATCTTCCCTGATCATGAGGATCACCTTGGTGTGTTGCCCCAGACAACTGGAGAGGGTGAGAGGTCCAGGGAATGCCTTCCTGATATCCAGTTGCTCCACTATCACCTGCTCTGCCAAAGCCAGCAAGAAATTTGTAGCAACAAGTGGCTGGAACCGAGTGGCAGAAAAGATGATGACCAACCCCATGTTGTAGTCAAGAACAGTTTGTTGGAGCTCACCAAAGGCATCGTCATGAGCCACAACAGAGCAACAAACTAGAAAGACCATCATGGCGCCCTGGAGGATGCCAGAGTATGGTCCTAGAACAGTAGATAGCACCTAGATCACACATTAGCAAGAAAAAAAAGAGAAACAACATGCATTACCTGTGAAACACTCATGGCAACAAAAATACCTTTTTCTTTTCTGGTGAAAAGCCATCCACTATCCTCCTCAGAATGATCTGAGAAAAACGCAAAGACGTGTCTGCCATGGGTGAGATGAGACTTGAGCTTACTGATGTGTGCATCCTGGGCGCAAGTGTATGTACAAATACCCTTGTGCATGGTGATGTTGAACGGGACCTCTAGATAGCTGTAGCCACCATTGGGGAAATAGTGCTCGAGGTAGTGGGATAGCAAAGGCACAGGCATGACGATCTCCTTACTGTCACCCACAATAAAGTGGATGACAGCGACGAGAGCAGCAGCCAATACTGTGGAAGATGCCATCTCGAATGTTCCCTTCAAGTGGAGGAAGTACTGGAGGGCAGGCTTTCCTCCTTCAGTTGGCAGGCCGCCTGTATCAGTCATTAGTGTAGTGTAGTTGAAATAAAAAGATAAGGATGGACTTACAAAGTAGGGTGTAGGCACCTTATTGGTGTGCCCAGCATGACAGCTGAGGCAGCAGAAAAGGACGTCAGGGCGACCCATGAGGTCGCGAGAGTTGGACAGGATGTCAAGACACCTGCCACACATGACGCGAGGGCAGCCACTGCACTCATAGAGCACAACATCCCCGTCAGCACCGTCACGGCAACTGAGACACCACTAAATTGAAACATCAGCAACAGCAAACACCTCAAGAACAAACTTACCTGACTGTGGACATCTGACCACACCAGCTCATGTTCTCCTTCACTTCCAGGACTTGCTGGGGCAGGAGAGGCAGCTGGCGATCCAAGTGGACCACTCACCCTCTTAGCAATGCCACTGGTGGCTTGCTTCTTTGCGGTATTCTTAGACATTGACAAAAGAAGCAAAGGTAAGACTTAAGTAGAAAACTTGGGCAAGGTGTGAGTCTGCCAGATGCAGAGTCTGTACTGGCCGATTGAACTGTGGGAAGGTCATGGATCAACAATGGCACATGCATAATCATGTGATTGTGCATATGCATGTCCAAAACTAAACATGTGTCAAAATTTGACAAGTCCACCAGCATGTATACAATAGCAAATACAATCATGTGATCTTGTGTACAGTTCCAAAATTCAACAAGTCCATCAGCATTGTCCAACTGTAAACAATAGCAAATACGCCATGGCATATAGTTGTGTCACGACACTTTCGCACAGTTGAACTTCTCTACCTCAACGTCACTGGCCCAATAGCCACTTACACAGACTGCAGCTGTGTAAGTGGCTAATGGCGGTTGATTGCCTTCCATCTACCTTGAGTATGTTTCCTTTTTATTCAAATCCCTACTGAACACCGGTCTTGTTCTTTTCCAGGTTGCATTTCATTCAAGGTGAGTACTCTCTCCAGCACTCCTTCACTGACATTGTTCTAGGTTCCTCATTTGACACACTGGCGCCTGGAGGGAGGTCTAGTTTTTGCAGGTGGGTACTCTCTTTTATTCAAATCCTTACTGAATGCCGGTCTTGTTCTTTCCCAGGTTGCATTTCATTCAAGGTGAGTACTCTCTCCAGCACTCCTTTACTGACATTATTCTAGGTTCCCCATTTGACACACTGGCACCTGGAGGGAGGTCTGGAGGGATGTCTAGTGCTTGCAGGTGAGTACTCTCTTCAATGCTCTTGAACCTACATTGTTCCAGGCCATTCAATTTTTAGGCACACTGCATTGGGCAGGGAGGTCTAGTGCTTGCACCAGCATGCCTAACCTCTGTGCTGTCCAACATTTTGTAATCTGGGGGCTTGGGGGGTGGTAGTGTGCATACCGGTGTGCCTATTCACCCTCTCATTTAGTAATCTGAGGGCTTGTGGGGTGGTAGTGTGCATGCCGGTGCGCCTATTCACCCTCCCACATTTGGGAATCTGAGGGCTTGAGGGTGGTAGTGTGCATGCCAGTGCGCCTATTCACCCTCTCATTTAGGAATCTGAGGGCTTGGGGGGTGGTAGTGTGCACGCCGGTGCGCCTATTCACCCTCCTACACTGAATAATCTAGGGGCTTGGGGGTGGTAGTGTGCACACTGGTTGAAGGTACTTTCAGCTGTACTCTATTAACACATTCTGACTGCAGTTTACAGATTTTGGGCAGGGACATCTAGCACACCTGAATCTTTGTCAAGGTACTTTCAGCTTTGCTCTGTGAACACATTCTGACTGCAGTTTACAGTTTTTTGTATCCTGGTAAAGCTAATCACAAGGTAATTTAATTCATATTCATATTGCAGGTGCTGACCCAGTGTCCACAGATGGTTTCCACTATTTTATATATATATGTTCAATTTCTTTCTTTCTTGTAGTCTGCTGTACAAGGCCAAGGCAGAGAGGGCCCCTCTGCTGAGGTCTTGTATTAGCTTGTATACTCTTTCATTACTTAATGTTTTTCACCTTTACTTTACTTTACTTTACTTATTTTACATTGTGTATGCTTTAATTTGTAACACGCTGGCTTAATGTGCTGCCAAAATGAAATGATCGCGTGTTTCTTGCTCCTGTGAAAAAGTCACATGACCAACTGCTGCTAGTTCCTGATGCAAATCAGTTATGTGACCTACATCACTGCTATGTCCGTGAGTCACTGTGCATATTACTCTTCTAGTGATTTTGAGGCCTAGGTGGATGCATTTCAATGGTACCAAGGACTTAAGGTATCAATCTGAGTGACTATATGCGCTCTTTTGGTGGGATATGCACTAATTCCTGTGCTACAGTAACTTGTGCGTGCAAATGGCTCACCCATACTGAACTCAATGAACTTGCTGTCAGTAAGTGCAAAATATCATCTACATGTACTCCTGCTGATGTCAAGTCTCGCTATCACTCCACTGTCAGTAGGCAAATGGGACACAGGTGGGGACAGATCTGGGTGAGGTGTGCCAAGTATAAACTATTGCCACTGTACATTACATAGACAGACAATTACTGCAGATTTTCAACAATTCAGGCTAACATCTATTTACTTCTAAAATACACCCCATCCTCATCTAACCCCCAAAGTAAAGCTCCAGGCAGCTAGGTGCCTGCACACCCCATCCTCATCTAACTACCAAGTGAAGCTCCAGTATATACCACTCCATTATGCTGAAGTCGAATGGAGTCTGGGGTTCTTTGGTTGTGAATGCCATAAGGGTGTTTGGACTTTGTTTGCTCAGGGTTTCTCAAAGGAACCGAGTAACATCTGAGTGATAACGGGTAACCTCTTGAATAATGTGCGCTGTCACCTCAAACTGGACAATTTGAATTTAAGTTATCTACATTTGGTAATATCCCCATATGGTCTAGACCAGATCAGCTTGAAATTTTCAAATGGTGCCACTCACTGAACTTCCATCATTTCTGTCATGGGGGATCCTGTCACAAAACTGTCCAAAGACCTCTCTAGCTGTGTGGATGAAATACTCCAGAATTCATCACCATTTCAATTATCCTTAGATAGGAAGAATGATTATAAATTACTACAGAAAGCCAAGTAAGCAGTTTCAAAGTTAAGGTTCAACTCAGACTGAACTGCTGATATTTAAGGACAAGACTGTGGAACATGTGGCAAGATGTTCAACTAACCAGTTCTGGTATTGGTGTCAAGGAAACTGAGATTTCAGAGATTGAACTCTCCAGGGCTGCAGTCAGCATTGCTTATGCCATGGTTAATAGTTGTAAGCTTCTATTTGAATTTGATCATGGTGTATTTGTAATTGTTTGAACCCAGTACAGGCTGATTGGGATGTCCACCATTTTGCAGACAAAGCTAAGGTGTCCCCAAACCCGCTGAATTCTGACAGCCAACAAAGGGAGAAACTTGCAAAATATTTCAAGACTCCTTCCTTTGGCCACATCTTGGAGCTGACCACATTTATGGACAAGCACAGAAGGATACTTGCTTGGCATTTGCCAGAGATCTTGGTGGCTGATCGAACGGTATGCCAACTCTCTGAGATAAGTTCAAAGACCTTCTAATCAGACATATTCAGGAACATATCAATAGCTCTGTCAAATCACTCAGACCTATCCTAGACAAGTTTTTGCCCAAGGCAACTAAAGGGGAAAAGTACCCTTGGTGTTCACAGGGATTTGTTATACCTTCAGGGGGGGGGAGTTCAGAGCAGGACAGGTGACTTTATGCCCAGGTGGATTTATGCAACATCAAGAGGTAAGTTTGTCTTGTCTCTTAGGATACAAAACTAACTTAATTGAGCTAGCGTCTTCAAGATCGTTTGTACCAATCAACCTCCCTTTCATCACCTGTAGTTCGCAATTGGTTGGCCACCATGACTGTCAGCGAACAATTCTGGTTGGCCATTACCAGCGTTATTTCACCAGATCAGTATCTTGCTGATGTGAAATCTGTGTCTACACTAAAGGATATGGTTCAAACCCCAAATCTGGTTGTTTGGCCTTCTACATTTTCTGGAATTGAGGTAATTGTCAATAGAGAGACTCCCTATCATCAGGATCTAGGAGCATTGCCATCAGTCTATGACCTTCTGGTTAGCTTGGGTCAAGATCACCAGGCCATGCTAGATCTCCATGACCTGGGTGCTCAACTAGGATATCCCCCTGGGACTATGGTATATATCTCAGGCAAGGTGCTAGAGCATGGCATGCCAAGTTGGGGTGATGGAGAGAGGATTATGATTGCCCACTTTGTCAAGGATAAAGTGCATGATAAGCAGGGCATTCCAAGACCAAGCTTTCCAATGGAGCAGGATTTTCTTATCCAAGTGGGGGCTGGTAGAGGTCTAAAAAGGTAGAGTTAATTAATATACCAAGAGGAGATATGGCTAGAGGTGTGGAGATAATTTTTCCATCACATTGCTTGCCTGTAGTACTTCTGAACTCTCATTCTCAAATGTCTAGCCAGAAAAAAACATGTCTCAAGGCCATTTCATATTCTTTCAAAGGCAGAGGTAGCTTATCACAACAAAAAGACCTGGATGTTGACTATATGTCCTACAAACCTACAACAGGCAAGAGGGGGAAGTGATCATGGCTCCAAGTTCAAGCTGATCCATTGTATGAAACATCAGGGGTGCCTTCCCCCTCCTCTAGCCCAAAGAAACAGACGAAAGAGGCTCCAATGGAATTTCTAGATACTGAGACTTATGATACATATCAGGAAACACTTGGCGATTTTGTTCTAGATGAAGAGGCTATGGAGCATGCAAGAAAAACCAAGGTATGACTCACATTCTTAGGTTGCTGATAAGTCTCATCTCATACTACATGATATAGACACAAAACAGTTTTATAGCAGACTATCTTGCATATCAAGGTCTATATCTAGACATCATCCTGGAATCCGAACAATTTGTTCACACAGGCATGTGTGAGTCTTGCCAAGGCTGCTGAGGCCACATTCAGTTGTGTGACTTGCACTAGGGACCATGGCTGGTGTCACCCTTGCATGATCAAGTCACATCAGTCATTACCTTTTCACAAAATCCAATTGTGGATTGGCAAGTGCTTCAAGGACGTCACTCTTGCCGACCTGGGTTTTATATGGTACTTGGGCCATGGGAGCGAGCCTTGCCCCCCTCGGTATGGAGCTTCTTGTCATGGTGACATGGAAGATTTGCCTCATGATACCAGCCCTGTCACTATTGTGCATCCTTCTGGGTGTTCATTCATAATGTGGCATGGTGTCATTGCCAGGGCTCTGTTCTGAAACAGCACCTACAGCTCCTTAGAGCAGGACTATTTCCTGCCAGCTCCACCAGGCCCAAGACTGCCTTCACCTTCAAGGTCCTGGATCATTTTCTCATTGATTCCTTGAATGCAAGACTTCGGCAAGGAGCTTCTTTGAGAAACTCACAAGGCTGACTAATAACACATTTCTGGATACTGTCCCTGTGAGTGCGGGTACACTTGTTCCAGGAGATTTCTCTAAATACCTGTGTATTAACAGGATTGGTATCATGAACTTATGAGAGTATCTCATCAGTGGTGCGACTTGAAGAACTGAAAATGGTTTGGATTTGGCCATGATGTGGAACTGGGTACAGGCCCAGGAGATCTTGCTCTCTTCTGCCCTTTGTGTCCTGCAGCCAGGAATCAATATGCCTTTGCTTTGGGAACAGAAGTATGAAAGGCAAGTTGTTTATTATTTGAAACACTGCTAGATGAAGCTGGCCAGGCTCAGGGCTATGTCATGTAGATCAAATGTTGGCCTGGAGTTCCTTCAAGCCTAATTAAGATTAAACTTGGCTGACTTTTTTCAGGTGGCTTGTTATGAAGAGATTGGTGGTAGATGGGAACTTTACTGCTCAGCACATGAACATGTGGGAGCCTGAACAAGACATCTTCCATTTGGATGGTTCAGGTTATATGGTGACAAAGTTGGAATATCAGGCTCACTTGGCCTCAGCAACTGAAAGTAAAGAGGCAAGTCAGGTGGTTTATTGTCCTTTTTCAGTGGTGTCCTAAATGTGTCAGAAGAGGTCCACATGTAGCAACCATCGAGCAGTGAATGCAGCTAATACAAACTGAAGCAATCTCTAAGCTACTGGTGTGGGTGCTACAGCTTGTGCCCGGCATGGATGTTTTGTTCCCCACTCTGTAGTAGACTTTCAGAGGGTGAATGGCAAGTCTCCTTTAATTTATTATGTGATGGCCTGACATGCTGATAAAATAAAGTCAAGGCACATGAATATAGATTACTCCATATGCAATGGTATCACCCAAGCTGCCAACTCTGTTGACAACTCACTCATAATTTATGATGTGGGGTGTCAGTGGAACCTTCACTTTGGAGAAATGTTAACAATTGCCCTGGCCTGACACTCCCTGAAAATACAGAGATTGTAGCTGCAGTGGGGAAATTTCATCTCAGTGCTCATAAGCTAGCTTGTTTTGCTAGATACAGCCTAAACTTCATCTTAGGTGCACTGCCCAAGTTGACTGAGAAATTCTGGAGACACTCTGGGCCCCCTTTAACAAGATATCCCCAACAGCCCGTTCTATGAGCTAAGCCCACTGTCAAGAAATCCTTGATGACCATATGTGTAATTCAAATTGGAAAAAACTTGTAGGGATTGGTGAGTGCTAAATTTGAAGTAAATAAGACTTTGATTAAATATTTTCAGTCAAGACCCTGTTACGAAAGCACAAATGTGCATATAAGGGCATTGATGACACCAAGGTCCCATTTGAAGAGCTTACCAGATCTTTGGATGTCAACAAAGTCAGCTTGTGGGAAAGTGACCAGAAATGAGCAACCAAACAGTGAGGGGAGCATCTTGACATATACAATCTAAAAATGGATAAAGGTGAGCCCTTCTATTTGTTTTATATGCTGTATATTTTGATGGGTGATTGGAAGCATCAACAATGGCAGAAATACATCTTAAATTAACTGAATCCGAATATGCAGATACCAGCAAAGTCGGATCAGTATCTTGCCTTATTGAGGGAATCAACTTGGAAGATACACAGTATGTCATTTTATCATTTGTAGGGTCAGAGAGTTTGAATTCCTCCATAGGGATGCATTGAGGGTAGATATCCAGCAGCTTCCAAGAGACGCATCTGCTACTCAGAAGGCTGTGATTGCTAAGAAGCAACATAAATTAGCTACAAGGATCTCAAAATATCATGAAAGAACTGATGCCATGACCCAGGGTATTAAAGTCAACTTAGGTACAGTGCCCCTGGATGACATCAGATTTTGCACTGCAGATGTTATGGAGTTAGGGCCAGAAGCTATAGATCTGGAATTTGCCTCAGAGGAGATTGTTGACTCAGAGGAAGTTCCTGCAGAAGTGATGGGTATTTGGATGCCATCATCCATGCCTTACCAAGAAGCCCCAGCCCCCAGGTTGGGTGCTCTAGTGGCCAAAGAACTCCAGTTACGGCAGGGTCAGTCAAATGATTGCCTAGAAAGGTTACAACAGGCTCTTGGTCACAAATCAATCATTTACTGTCAACACTTCCGAAGTGTGGATTCCACATGGGCAGGCACAAGGTCAAAGCAAGAGGCTTTACGGTGCCAGATAAAAATTGATAAGTATGTTTGAGGCTATCAAAGGGCAAGGGATGCAATGCAGAGGCTGGGAGTAGACGAAGAAACCCTCACTAATGTTTATCAAGAAATTCAGCCCAGCCAGCTCACTGTGAATCAGGAAGTGACCAAGGAGAACAGACATGGGCAGGGATCAGACAGACTGGCTTGGTTTTGGAGAATCAACAATGGTGGTAATACTCATGAAGACCCATGAGATGAATGTAGGTGATAACTCAATATTTCATATGTCTTCTCACAATAAGTATTAGTCTATAGGGTCAATTGGTTAAAAGCTAAGGCTAGGTGGCAAAGGTGGGAGGAGGAGTTGAGTTTGGTCCAACATGAGATGGGTTGGACAGTTGGCTGGTTTCAACAAAAGAAGGATGAATGGCATAGAAGATATCATAAAGCCAAAAAAGCTGGCCATCAAGAATATGCACAGTGGCAGGTGCTCTTGTGGGAAAAGTTTGAATTGGATGCCCAGAATGCATTCAAGGGCAAAATGATTATAGTCAATTAACTCTACAATTGTCTTTATACAGCCCTTGTAATTCGTAGGAGTCTGACCAAAGTATATGGCCAGACCAATACTCACTGATGGTACATATTGGTTGGCCTGACAGCAGGATCAGCCCAACCAGGATATACTGTTCATACAGTGGCCAGCCAGCCTGTTTGGCCTGACAGCAGGATTGGCCAGACCAGATGATACCCACTGTACATATTGGTTGGCTGGCCTAGTTAGCCTGACTGCATATTCAGCCAGACAGGTATCTACAGGCCATGCTTACTAGTCAGCTGGCGAGGTTGGCCTGACAGCAGGATCAGCCAGACTGGAATATACTGTTTGTGCAGAGTGGCCAGCCAGCCTGTTTGGCCTGACCACAGGATCAGCAGACCAGAATATACCCACTGTACATATTGGTCGGCCAGCCTAGTTGGCCTGACTGCATATTCAGCCAGACCAGTATCTACCAACTGTACTTACTAATCGGCCAGTGGTTGGCCAGACCACAGGATCAGCCAGACTAGCACTTACCTAACCTACCTATAGGTTGGTAGGCCTGTGTGGCCTCAATGCTGTATCAGCTACTTTCATTTTCATGCTGGCCAGTACTGGTCCTACAGGTCTGGCTGGTCACATCCCACAGGCATATCCCTAATTATATAGCTGCTGGCCAGTACTGGTCCCACAGAGCTGGCTGGTCACATTCCATGGGCATGTCCCTTATTATTTAGATACTGGCCAGTACTGGCCCCACAGGGCTGGCCAGTCTTGGGGACCTTCACCTTCTCATTGGTGTATTCAGGGGGAGGCACAAAGTTGTTCTCTGCATCATGTTCAAACATGATGAATCTGTGGCCAACCTCCTCCTGTCTCTCACCTCTGACAGTGCAATACATGAGAACAGACATCACCCAGGAACGTGCAAAGCAAAACACCAATGCCTCAACCTTTGCAAGGAAATTAGAGGGATGTAGAAATACAAGGTTAACACTCACCAAGAACAAAAGCAACAATGTGACCCTCCCATAGGCTGAGGGCCATGATGACATGGTGAACGAGCCTCTCGGGAGGAAAAATCCTGCTTTCTTATGCTTCATGTCATGATGGCTATGGTGGTGTAATCCAGCTTCATGGTGGTGGTCACATTCCATGGGCATGTCCCTTATTTCTTAGATACTGGCCAGTACTGGTCCTACAGGTCTGGCTGGTCACATTCCATGGGCATGTCCCTTATCATTTAGATACTGGCCAGTACTGGTCCTACAGGTCTGGCTGGTCACATTCCACAGGCATGTCCCTTATCATTTAGATACTGGCCAGTACTGGTCCCACTGGTCTGGCCAGTCACATTCCACAGGCATGTCCATTATCATTTAGATACTGGCCAGTACTGGCCCCATGGGGCTGGCTGGTCACATCCCATGGGCATGTCCCTTATTCCTTAGATACTGGCCAGTACTGGTCCTGCTGGTCTGGCCGGTCACACTCAACAGGCATGTCCCTTGTAATTTATATACTGGCCAGCCCCGGTCCTACAGGCCTGGCCAGCGATCATCTACAGGCACATCCCTTATTATATAGATAATGGCCAGTACTGGCCCCACAGAGCTGGCTGGACACATTCCACGTCCATGTCCATTATTCCTTAGATACTGGCCAGTACTGGTCCTACATGTTTGGCCACTCACAATCTATGGGCCTCCACTTGAATGCTGGCCAGTACTGGCTCTACATGTCTGGCCACTCACCCTGCCACCCTCCAGGTCACAGTTAGTTTATTATTACTGTATGTAGAATGAACATCAGCCAGAATGGCCCTACATACTGGCCAGTGCAGTGCCTACAAGGATTTAGTACAGCTGGCCAGCCACCAGCTGCACACATCCTATGACCATTTGGCACGTCCGGGGTACAGGTTCTATGTAGGGTTTTGACTGAATGGTCTGTTGAAGAGGCACAGTGCACCCTCTGCTGTACTAGATGAACACTCTGAGGACAAGCGCATGCTCATCTTCTAGTAGTACTACTAGTTGCCAGTACAGTCTTTCTCATTGCCTGCATGCATCTCACTAACTAATATTTTCAAGTTGACTACTACTCTTCACCACTGCCTCATCCTGCTACTCTTCACCACCGCTTCATACTGCTACTACTCTTTGCCACTTCATTATTCTGCTGCTGCCAGTGTTACAGTAAACGGTTACCCCTATCATTTTTCCTCTCTTCTATCTGTACTACGTCATGACCGCACTCTAACTCGTGCCATCACTAGACGATCTGCCGTTTCACCTAAAACTCATGTACCACAGCACAACCGCCTCATGCCGTTGCTAGCTGACGTTATCTCTGACTCATTTCGTTGACATCATCCTTCTTATCTATGACTCGTCTCGATGACGTCATCTTCCTTATCTATGACTCGTCTCGATGACGTATACGTACCGGCCCTAAAGTGGCTCTACCTATATAAGCAGGATCTTGTACTTAGTTAGACTTCACTTTAATCTACTAGGTTTTACCCAGAACATCCTTCTCCTAAGACCCCCAATCTTAGGTGTCTGATATCGATATTCAAGTCGGAGACACTCTCTCTAACTTGTCTTAAAGAAGCCTTGCATTTGTGAGGTTACGATTCGGCTCTAGACGTCACTCTTATCGAGTGTCTATTGTCGCGCCTATCCTAGTCGACCTACGGTTCGCCGTAACAAAAGATTAAAGTCATCTCCAGACCCTCCTCATCAGAAGAGGTTAAACCAGAAACCCAGACGACCCTCTCCATCAGAAGAGGTTAACCAGACTCAGCGAGAGAACAATAACGTTCCCCTGAAACCGAAACATCACTCGACCACACGTCAGGATGTCTACATCGACTACCACCCCAGAATTGAAGGCCGGAGCCCCATCTACCTATGATGGAAGTCCCTCCCAAGCCCTACGATGGTTATATGCAATCAAGGCGTACTTCGCGCTTAATGCTACCATCTATAACACCGATGATAAGAAGGTCATAACCGCCCTCGCCTACATGACAGAAGGAAGCGCTATGGGTTGGGCATTGACCTTCTATACTGAAGTTGATGACTCCGTCGCTAAGACTTACGGAACCTTCGCAAACTTTGAAACCAAGTTCAAGGAGGCCTTCGTACCAGCCGATGCCGTCGGAACCGCCATGAACAAGCTCCGTACGCTAAAACAGACAGGCGACCTCACATCCTATATCGCCAGTTTCAAAACGCTTGCTGCACAAGCATCCGTGAAACAGGACGCCGTCCTTATCTCGTTCTTCAACGACGGACTAAAGAAGGGAATCGTTAACTCCGTCTACCAGATGGAAACTATTCCGGTAGACTTTGACAAGTATAGTTGCCGCCGTCATTCGGCTAGGACAGCAACTACCAGAGAGGGGCTGTGTATCGATTAAATCATCGTACCACTACCAAGCCATCTGGACAACGATACATCCCCAGACCCTCCATCGATCGACACGACCCAAACGCTATGGAGGTAGACCGACTTACTGAAGTCGAGAGAAGCGATCATATGAAGAAGGGGCTTTGCTTCACATGTCACCAGAAGGGACATATGACTAGAGCATGCCCACAGAAGAAGAGAATCCCTGTTCGCCGAGAAGAGATGAGCGACAGCGAAGAAGAAGATACAACGATCCGTCGGCTCGCCGAGGATTTTTGATGTGGAAGACGGGATCGACGTCCGTATCTTCCGATGTACCCATAAGACTTGTACAGAGTATAGGGATCAGAAAAGAACTTCGTGTTCCCATTTCTCTCATCTCCAAGACACGTCTGAAAACCGTCGAAACAACAGCAGTTGTTGACTCCGGCGCCGCTGGAACCTTTATCTCAGAAGAGTTCGTCAAAACTCACCATATCCGAACGCATAAACTATCGAAACCATTCCGGGTGACAACCGCGGATGGGAGTTATGCAAAGGGGGGCGCTATCACTCGATACTGTGTCCTCATCGTCAAGATAGACAACCGATCAATGATCGGAAAGTTTAACATCACGCGACTAGGTCGACGTGATCAGATATTACTTGGGATTCCGTGGCTGCGTGCCATGGATCCAGTAATCCGATGGAAAGCGGAAACGCTAGAACTTTCTCGAACTGAGAAAAGCGATCAAATCGAACAAGAAGTCGATCAAGAGCGAAAGAAGAACGGACTTATCTCCTCTCTTTCCAAAGAGAAAGAAAGAGACGAAGAAAGAACCAATCCCAGTTGTAGTGCTGCCGAAGGCGCCTCCTGAGGAAATGATTAAACAATCACCGCACGCTACGATAGAAGAAATCCCTGATGAAGAAGAAACCTCACCGGCCCTCCCTAATCTAGATCCTGTGCCAGACGATGACGACGATTCCTTCGATACGAAGGAAGACGTATGGACGACAGACTACGCACCACCGGTGCGAGAAATCGCCACCTACCATCTAGAAGATGATGAATTTCTAGTTGAATACCCCGCCGATGCCTCAGAACTTCGGGTGATCACCAACGTCTCACTCGACACCCCTTTAACGAAAGACGGTACTAGCGCCATTGAACAACGACCCAAGATCACTCCCTTGGCGCCGCCCGTTGAATACGCAAAGACAAGTAACAAAGCTCAGCAGTTTGCGTTAGCTGCCGGACTCGAACAGAAGAAGAAGTCATTCGAGGAACTCGTCCCCTCTTACCTTCATGACTTTGCCGACATCTTCGCAAAGATGGCTTGAATCAATTACCGCCAGAACGACCTGGTATAGATCATCGAATAGAAACCAAACCAGGTTTCATTCCCAAAACGTCTAAAGTATATCCGCTATCCGAAAAGGAGCGGACGGCGGTTAAAGCATTCATTGATGAGAACGTTCAGAAAGGATTTATCTCTGAATCGAAATCACCGCAAGCTAGTGGTTTCTTTTTCGTAGGAAAGAAGAGCGGAGATCTCCGTCCTTGTCAGGACTATCGGTACATCAATGAATGGACCGTCAAGAACGCCTACCCACTCCCACTGCCACTCTCCCTGGTCGCTCGATTACATGGTGCCAAATACTTTACGAAGATGGACGTCCGATCTGGATACAACAATATCCGCATTCATCCAGAAGATCGATGGAAAGCTGCCTTCACTACTGAATACGGGCTTTTTGAGCCTAACGTCATGTTCTTCGGGCTTTGCAATTCCCCGGCCACTTTCCAAGCGTATATGAATAGAACGTTCCAGCAAGAAATCAACGAAGGATGGCTTGTTATATATATGGACGACATCCTTATATTCTCCAACGACCTCACCTCCCATCATGAACGCACTCAGCATATCCTTGAACGAATTCGACAAGAGAAACTTTTCCTTAAACCGGAAAAATGCACGTTCGACGCGGAAGAAGTGGAGTACCTCGGAATGATCATTCGCCCTGGCTGCGTAGCAATGGATAACGCTAAAACCAACGGGATTCGAGATTGGCCTACCCCCACGTCAGTAAAAGAAGTTCGGTCGTTCTTAGGATTCTGCAACTTCTATCGAAACTTCATTTCCCATTACTCCGACATCGCCAGACCATTAATTGATCTTACCAAGAAAGACGTCAAATTCCTGTGGACAGATAAATGCACATCCGCTTTTAACTGAGCTGAAAGAATGCTTTACGAAGCAACCAGTCCTTCGCAACCCAGATCCCTCTAGACAGTTCGCTGTTGCCACTGACGCATCCCTTGTCGCCACCGGAGCAGTCCTACTCCAAACCGACGATAATGGTGTCTATCACCCGTGTGCATACCTGTCCCAGACCTTGAACCCCGCGGAACGGAACTACCAGATCTTCGATCGCGAACTCCTCGCGGTCATTCGTGCATTAACCGAATGGCGTCATTACTTGGAAGGAAATCCTCATCCCGTCATCGTATTCACTGATCATAAAAACCTTCTGTACTTTAGAACGGCCCAGAAGTTAACCCGCCGCCAGGCACGATGGCAGTTGATCCTGTCTTGTTACGACATTGAGCTGCACCACGTTGCAGGAACTAAACTGGTCGCCCCCGACTGCCCTA